TCCCAGCCACTTATGCTGGCTGTAAGAGGCGACCAACTGGATCCAGTCATCCCAGCCACTTATGCTGGCTGTAAGAGGCGACCAAATGGATCCAGTCATCCCAGCCACTTATGCTGGCTGTAAGAGGCGACCAAATGGATCCAGAGGTCCCAGCCACTTATGCTGGCTGTAAGAGGCGACCAAATGGATCCAGTCATCCCAGCCACTTATGCTGGCTGTAAGAGGCGACCAAATGGATCCAGAGGTCCCAGCCACTTATGCTGGCTGTAAGAGGCAACCAAATGGATCCAGTCATCCCAGCCACTTATGCTGGTTGTAAGAGGCGACCAAATGGATCCAGTCATCCCAGCCACTTATGCTGGCTGTAAGAGGCGACCAACTGGATCCAGTCATCCCAGCCACTTATGCTGGCTGTAAGAGGCGACCAACTGGATCCAGTCATCCCAGCCACTTCTGCTGGCTGTAAGAGGCGACCAAATGGATCCAGTCATCCCAGCCACTTCTGCTGGCTGTAAGAGGCGACCAACTGGATCCAGTCATCCCAGCCACTTATGCTGGCTGTAAGAGGCGACCAAATGGATCCAGTCATCCCAGCCACTTCTGCTGGCTGTAAGAGGCGACCAACTGGATCCAGTCATCCCAGCCACTTCTGCTGGCTGTAAGAGGCGACCAACTGGATCCAGTCATCCCAGCCTCTTCTGCTGGCTGTAAGAGGCGACCAACTGGATCCAGTCATCCCAGCAACTTCTGCTGGCTGTAAGAGGCGACCAACTGGATCCAGTCATCCCAGCCACTTATGCTGGCTGTAAGAGGCGACCAAATGGATCCAGTCATCCCAGCCTCTTCTGCTGGCCCTAAGAGGCGACCAACTGGATCCTTTGGTCCCAGCCACTTCTGCTGGCTGTAAGAGGCGACCAAATGGATCCAGTCATCCCAGCCACTTCTGCTGGCTGTAAGAGGCGACCAACTGGATCCTTTGGTCCCAGCCACTTATGCTGTGTTGTTTTGAAAGTCAAGGCAAATTGTTATTCGACCATGAATTTGGAAAGTTCTCAGCTCTGATTGGTCAATCAGAGGTATCAGATCTCAATAACCATTGACTGAAACAGCTGATTTGACAGCCGCATCACCACAGAAGTTAATATGTATAAAACAGTACTTCTTTCACAGTCATTGTTTGAAGATACTCTAAAAAATTATTTTACAGGTTACGAATTGCATTTTGCATCTTTCTACAAAAAGCTGAAAAGTGCTCTGTTCCAAATTAAAACAAATATATCTAATCTACAGTGAGACTACCTTCAGAGCACAGTAGGTTTATCTCCTAATCAAGCTAAAAGGAACAGTCCAGCAGTCATTATATGCCCGTTTGTTTGTACGCCATCCATTCAAGTCCAGGAAAGCCAACTTTTGTTAATTGTTCCCAGGTCAAAGCCATTAATCTTCCTCACCCTGCCAAATGGCACTGGGAGTTGTAGGAGGAATGGTTCCTGGCAGTGCCAAGACACAAGTGTTACTATTGACAACAAGGAATAACCCTCTCTTGAAGCCTTGGCAACCAGGACATGTTTCCTGGTTTTGTTCCTATATCCTCAAGACTGATATTAATTAATTACCTTACAATACCTAGCCCTTTCACACAGAGCTGCCGGCACATGCTGTATAAAATGTTCATAAACGATTATGGAGAGTGTGAACGTAAATCGCGATCACACACCCGTCAATCATTGATCATTGTTTACGACACTGATAGCCAAGCACAGGCTGGGGATATTTTATCCAGCAATTTTACCAGGGTGAACCATTTACCCGTTTAGTTTCGTCCAGACACCGACCTACCATTGATTTTTCTCACCTGCAATAAGCGCCAGCTACGTTTACAGTGACGTGTATTGATTCCGCATGAAACTGAGCCCCTTGGACAAATGAAATGTCCTGTTGCTTTTCAGGACAAGGTTCTCTTGTAATATTTCTTTTTGTTGATTTCTGTCTCAGAGAATGAGATAATCTTTTCCGCAGAGTTATTATGACTTTCTTATTCTTGGTGCTTAATGGTCCGTTGTAAAATGTATTTGTGTGATTTTGATCTGAAATATAAAACCATTGGTGGTGTAACGACTTCATCGTGTACGAGGGTATTGACTCATTGTGTGCTGTATAAAGATGGTGTGTAGATTGACAGTTGTGTAATGTATAGTTCTTCAAGCTCATGAATTGATAATACCGTATTCGACGTAATAAGCGCCCCGCTCTAATAAGCGCCCATGGTGATATTGCTAATAAATTGGCTAGTGAACATATATTGGCTAGTGAACAATCCCGATTAGCACCCCTTCCGATTGATCAATGTACACAAGACTTATTTATTCGTGTATAGTACGCACTCGTGTGTTATATGCACCCTTAATTATGGGCAATTAAATTCTGGAAAAATATATCTGTCGTATATAAACATTTCAGGCTTTCAGCATAAACCACGAAATTTATCTTTCAACTATCTGGGTTTTTTTCCACCAAAATAATGTTCTAATAAGAGCCCCTTATTTCTAAATTTGAGAACGCCCTGGTTAGAATAGGTCCCTAGCATCCCATGCTTGTCATACCGTGGAGATTCCTGGTTAGAACATGTCCCTAGCATCCCATGCTTGTCATACAGTGGAGATTCCTGGTTAGAATAGGTCCCAAGCATCCCATGCTTGTCATACCGTGGAGATTCCTGGTTAAAATAGGTCCCTAGCATCCCATGCTTGTCATACCAAGGAGATTCCTGGTTAGAATAGGTCCCTAGCATCCTATGCTTGTCATACCATGGAGATTCCTGGTTAGAACAGGTCCCTAGCATCCCATGCTTGTCATACCGTGGAGATTCCTAGTTAGAATAGGTCCCTAACATCCCATGCTTGCATACCGTGGAGATTCCTGGTTAACATAGGTCCCTAGCATCCCATGCTTGTCATACCGAGGAGATTCCTGGTTAGAATAGGTCCCAAGCATCCCATGCTTGTCATACTGTGGAGATTCCTGGTTAGAATAGGTCCCTAACATCCCATGCTTGTCATACCGAGGAGATTCCTGGTTAGAATAGGTCCAAAGCATCCCATGCTTGTCATACCGTGGAGATTCCTGGTTAGAATAGGTCCCTAGCATCCCATGCTTGTCATACCGAGGAGATTCCTGGTTAGAATAGGTCCCAAGCATCCCATACTTGTCATACCGTGGAGATTCCTGGTTAGAATAGGTCCCAAACATCCCATGCTTGTCATACCGTGGAGATTCCTGGTTAGAATAGGTCCCAAGCATCCCATGCTTGTCATAGCGTGGAGATTCCTGGTTAAAATAGGTCCAAAGCATCCCATGCTTGTCATACCATAAAGATTTCTGGTTAGAATAGGTCCCAAGCATCCCATGCTTGTCATACTGTGGAGATTCCTAGTTAGAATAGGTCCCTAGCATCCATGCTTGTCATACCATAGAGATTCCTGGTTAGAATAGGTCCCAAGCAAATCTATGCTGCTCTGTGACAAGAGGCAACTAAATCAATCGGGTGGTCAGGCTAGGCTCAGTGACTTCGTTAGTTGCATGTCATCGTATCCCAACGTAGTGGACTGTTGTTCATTATATCGACCACTGGATTGACTGGTCCACACTCCACGTTATTTACATTCCGCTGTCATAAGCTAGAACATTGCTGAGTGGCATTAAGCAACAATCAAACAAAACCTACACAATCAACCAAAATTTACAAATAGTATATTTTGTATATCCTATTGTATCCTATTACGGGTCAAGTCAGAACGACCTTTCATTCGACCAATTAAAGCGTCATCTACCAGATCATGATAGTGACAGTCGTAATGTGTTTTCTAATCATGCAACCTCAAAAACGTTAACATGGTCTATTCCGAACAACAGTTATGGCCCGTACGACTGATTCCGTCAAAATTTTCGCCTATCTCTTGCTTCCATGGGATAAACATTTGAATGGAGGAGGCGTTGCACAGTACGTGGGAAGCACTGCCATACAATCTCAACCATATATTAGACATTCCGGAATGTTCGTGTGTTCAGTTTTCATACTTTTAATTGAGAACTGCGTCAACATATTTTTCAAGCGTAATCCAAAATGGAAGTCGCCAGGTTGAAAGGAGTGCCGCAAAGCTTAAGAAAGCCACTTTCTAATTGGCTGATGTCGACTTCTTGTTAGTCATTTCTGTGGTCGGTCAAAATTGGCCAAAGGTCATTATGATGTGACCCCTCTAATGGGATGTCCTCAGATCTTTGTTTAGTGGCAGCGAGAACTTAGATCTGATCTTAATGAGATTGGGATGAACATACTCGTATATACTGCTTCTCATGTCACACAGAGCAACAACTAGTATGAGCGAGCAAATGAGTGAGTTGGGTTGAACGCCCACTTTGAACAGTTTGTTTGTTTGTTTGTTGTTTAACGCCGCACTCAGCAATATTCCAGCAAAATGATGGCAGTCCGTGAATAATCGAGTCTGGATCAGACAATCCAGTGATCGTATTGGGATACAATTTTGTTTGTTTGTTTGTTGCGCAATTGGGATCAATGACATGTATCAACCAAGTCAGCGAACCTGACCACCCAGTCCCGTTAGTCGCCTCTTACGACAAGCATAGTCGCCTTTTATGGCAAGCATGGGTTGCTCAAGGCCTATTCTACCCCGGATCTTCTTTGAACAGTATTCCATTATGTCAAGGCATTTTAGCTTAATGCGTGAGGAAAGCCCGAAGTGAGGCAGGTGTCAGACATTTATCACTTTGGTGAACCACAAAGACAGGTATGATAAGAGACATAACCAGAGTGAACCGGGATTCGAACCCATAATCATATGTTTGTGGGATGCCCAAGGGACACAACTCTGCACAGCAAATTACGGTGGCTCAAATGACTGGTACAGGCATGACCCCAGGCACAAGTGGAGCATCTGTTAGATGTGATTATGGTCCTCCAGAAACTTCCTTCTCTGTTTCAGGTGAAAGTGCCTTGCATATAGCGGTGGTTCAGGGAGACTTCGAGAGGGTGAAAATCCTCACTGAAAATGGTGCTAAAGTCAATCAGCGAGCCACAGGGCGGTTCTTCTTGCCTGAAGACCAGAAGAAGAGTAAGAGCAAGAAGACAAATTTTGATGGTGAGTAGCCAGGGCTAAATTTGTGAGTTTTGTTTGTATGTTTGTTGTTTGAAGCCGCACTCAACAATATCCCAACTGTATGAAGGGGGTCTGTAAAACACCAAGTCTGGACCAGACAATCCAGTGATTGACGTCATCAGCATCGATCTATGCAATTGGGTTGGTTGGTTGGTTGGTTGTTTAATGCTGCACTCAGCAATATTCTGGCTATATCATATATGACGGTGGTCTGTTAAACATCGAGTCTGGACCAGACAATCCAGTGATTGACGTCATCGGCATCCATCTATGCAATTTGGATACGATGACATGCATCAACCAAGTCAGTGAGCGTGACCAGAATACCTATTCTCATTACAATCAGATCTTTTACTCTGATAGAAAGTTTCCCTACAGGCGATCAGCAGTCCTGCCTGATGCCGCCAATGATGCATGTCATGATCCAAGTTTTGAAACCCTCTGTTTGATGGGAAGGTGATACAAATGTACCCCAGTAGAAGTAGTTTCATGGCAAGGTATGTGTTTTCAGCAGTGCCGAATGTTGTATGAAAGCAACAACACTAAGTCTCAGGTTTTGCTTTCAATAGTAACATCGAGAAATATTGAAAGTGATTATGAAAGCAGCCAACCTGCCCGTGCAGAGTGAACCATTAGCACCTATTGTGTGCCTGGGATTTTCAACCTTGATAGATTTGTGGACTTGAATATGACAATGGGGATGTGTGTGTCATCGTACTAGCCATGGACAACTGACAGTACGTCAATGAATGTCATTTGTTCATCAGTGACGTGGCTGGCATAAAGTACATGACTTTGATAAGTAGACTGTCAACACTGGTGGCTGCAAACCTTTACATTGTGACTCTGCCGTACAATTTGTTGAAATCTAATCACCCAATACATTTATACAGTTAAAGGTGTTCATTTGTTTGTTGTTTAATGCCACACTCAGCAGTATTCCAGCTATGTGATGGCAGTCGGTAAATAATCGAGTCTGGACCATACAATCCAGTGATTGTCAATCATGAGCATAGATCTACACAATTGGGATACCATGACACGCATCAACAAAGACAGCAAGCCTGACCACCCAATCCTGTTAGTCGCCTATTAGGACAAGCACCATGAATTGCTGATTTTCAGGCTGCCATCATATAGCTGAAATATTGGTTACTGCAGCATTAAAGGACAAAACAACACATGCATAGGGTTTTACATACCACTGGACAGTGATTCAGATTTCTCCATCTCCTTTATGACTGAACTTTATCAGTGGAGCTAAATTTTCATAAATAAATCCATGAATTTGGAAATTACTTGATTCTGATAGGTCAATGAGAGGCTATTAAATCACAATAAACCCCCTCTGATTGAAACAGCTGATTTGACGAACGCATCACCCCGGAAGCTAATATCCATAAAATAATAATTTTTTCACTCATTGTTGGAAGGCATATTTAAATATTTATATCTACAATTACAGGTTACAAAAATGCAAAGTTGCAGTTACTACAATATTCAAATGATGTGTGGCAATAAGTTTCATGTAAAAAAAACTCTAGAAATCAACAAAGAGAATTATCTTAAGATTTGGGGACAACAGAGAGCGAGGAATTTAGAGCTTTTCTGTATACGAATGTCACGTCATAATCTTTACGTCACAATGAATGCTGCACATTCGGTTCCAAATTCAATTTAGCGCGGTTAAATCTACAGATAATCTAGCTTCACTTTGAAAACACAGTATGTTTATCTCCTAAATATCAGCCTGCTTGTCAGTGTCGATGGACCAATCAGTTTATTTAAGTAATGGTGTAGTATTTGTCAGTTCCAACGTATGAATCTGTAAAATATGTGATAAACTTTTTTTCAAATATAACATATTTCCTGGATGAGATGCCGAGCATCCAATACATGCCATTATTTAATTGACGCCGGGTCATGATGCTCTGTCCAAAAAAATAAAAATGGGTCTCTAATACATGCCAGGTCCATCATTTGATGGAATTAAAAATCCCTATCACATTAATTAACTAATGGCATGTCACGATTAAGCCGTTATTTTTTCATTTATTGGATCACAGATTGTTTTGGTCAAAGTTTTTGTTAGTTTGTTTGTTTGTTGTTTAACGCCGCACTCAGCAATATTCCTGCTATATGACGGCAGTCTGTAAATAATCGAGTCTGGACCAGACAATCCGGTGATTGATGTCATGAGCATCAAGCCACGCAATTGGGATCAATGACATGCATCAGCCAAGTCAGCGAGCCTGACCACCCGATCCTGTTAGTCGCCTCTCACGACAAGCATAGTCGCCTTTTATGACACTCGTCTTCACTCGTCTTTTTTGTCAAAGTCAGTTGGAGTAGAAGGGAATAAGGTATTGAAAGCAAAGCTTTCTTTTATTTTCAACTGGATGACAGAATTCTTTTACAAATGTTACCTGTTGGAGAAAAAAGAGAAAGAAGTGAATTTGTCATCTTTTAACCCATCATGGTTCAGAGCATAGTACATTTCTTGTTATTTATGTACTTTTCTATTTCAGTCACGATTGATTAATTATCGGTCATACATTCCTTTTTCGATCCAGTGATGAATCTTAAAGTTCAAACCAATTCCAAATGGCTCACCTTCATCAGAGTGTGTGATCATTGCATAAAACAATTAAAACAATGTTTGAATTTTTAAATGGGAAAATTTGTTTGAAATTCATCATGTCACAGTGTTACAATACATAGCTTAGAAGTTGAACACAGATCCAGGGTTACAGATGTTTATTTTGTAATTAAACTGTTTGTCGTCCAAGATGTCATCTGAAGACTTTTGACAAATTTGGTTATAATATGAAGTGAGTGAGTGAGTTTAACGCCAATTTGGACAGTATTCTAGTTATATAACAGCATGCCAGCTTTATATGGGAGAAAAGCTTGAAGTGATGCAGGTCTCCGACATTTACCACCTTGGTGAAACCCACAAGAACGTGAATGGTGCTGACAAACCTAGAAACATAATCAGGGTGATCTGGGATTTGAACCAGCAATCACAGGTTTCTGACGTGCCCAAGAGACACAACTCTGAACAGAGAATTGGGGCGTTTATGACTGGGCCACCCATGCCCCGTTAAAGGGGAAGTGTACACGCAAAAATCACTTTCTTTCTTTTTCTAAACAAAACGCAATTTTAGAATTAGTTAGTATCTGTGTTTGAAAATATAAACTGATTTTTTTCACAGTGAAAGTAGGAAGCTCAAAATAGTGTGAAAATGCTATGCCGTTATGAGGCCTTCGTTTTTCGAGCTAAACAGGCCAGAGTTATCCCCCTTAGATTATGACGTAATTGGTGCAAATTCAACTGGGTCCCTGTCTATTCTCAACGCAAAAGATATCAACTACCAGTTTGCGGTAAAACAACATGGCCTACGACACATTCCGGCGCAGTGGTGACTCAGCATAACACTAGACTGGCTGGCATCTGAGACGCTAGAATCACACACCTGTACCTACACCACGTGAAGCGGCTCTAACAAAGCATGATGACGTCATAATGTTTATCAATTGGCACCAATGACGTCATATTGCAAGGGGCATAAGCCATGGTGTTTTTGTTCTGGAAATAGAACACTTGGTAAATGTGAAAAATATAAATCGTTTTAATGCAAAAAATATGTCAATTAATTGTGATATTTTTATATTTTTGTCTATGATACTACTAGGTTAACACTTTTAATGTGCAAAAAGTACACGAAAAATAGGTTCATTTCCTTGTGAACTTGCCCTTTAAGTAATACAGAATGTCGATCAAAAGTTGATAAAATCATGAAAATGTCCTATTGACATTTGTCTCTGGGAAGTCACTGATAAATGATTGTAGCCAATGTGATTTCTATTACAGGTTATGCATACTATGGAGAGTATCCACTGGCGTTCGCTGCCTGTGTCTGCCACCAGGACATCTACGACTACCTCATCGAGCACAAGGCTGATCCAAACCTCCAGGACTCATTTGGAAACACAGTTCTGCATATGGTTGTCATAGCAGACCAGCCGGTAAATAGACACTCACGATCAGAAATAGATCCAGCAGGTGATACCGGACATTTACCTAACATGTCACCTGTTCAGTAGATCATATCACAAGGTCACTTCATTATTTTTTCATTGAATCACAGTTTTTCTAAATTTTCAGTGAGTTTATGATAAAAAAAAGTACATGAGCCTGTTAAGTTAAAAAATTACCACAAGGACTAAAAACCTCACTGTTGGGGTTTCCCAGAACAAATTAAGAGCGAAGTGTATGTACTATTCTGAGCATTTCAATGTACTATGCATACATCCAACTTAATTCATTTTTTATTCATGATTTTAACAACAGAAAAAATAAATGCTCCCAGTGCCACTGATAAAATATCCTGTGAACAATTTGGCCACACATTTTTAATTTTATGTTTCGCAGGTTTATTCAAGCTTTTCCACACGGTCGGTCAAAATAAAAGTAAAAATAAATGTCAATCATTTATTTATTTTTATGAAAGTCATTCTGCTGTGGATTTAAAACTGGAGGTGGCCTCTTAAATCACTGATAGTAGACATGGGATTTATATATAACATGTTATATTGTATAAGGCAACACTTTTTTTATTTCTTGGTTTACCGATTTCAAACTCATTTCAAAAGTGAGGTTGGCCAATTTAAAAAAAAAAGCATCAGAGTTTTTTTTTACTTGAATTATGTCCTAAAAAGTTAGGTAGCTATAAAAAAAATGTTCTGGAGTTTCAAAAGTAAAACAACTCAATTTCTCAAGAACATTTTATCATATCCTTGGCACAAAGCTTGTGCACAAATGCAGCATTCATAGGTGGAAATGCATGAAAGACGCCGCTATTTTGGCAGCATTGGCGACGATTAACTCTTTCAATACCAGCCAACCAGAAGATAACTGCTGTGACACCATGTTCCCAGAGACTTTTGTGTGATAGATGAAGCCAACATTTATCAAGGAAATTATCCGCTTGTAAAACATCTTTGCTACTATAAACTATTTGAAAGGTCTAATTAATCCTATTGTTTATAAATATGAAAATTATGTGTATTACATTATTTAAATAAATCATTAACAACTTCATTAAGTTCTTTTTGAATTAAAATAATTTTAGCTAAAACATTCATGATTTCCAGATTAAGGACCAATGAAGTGAAAATTTCATGATTTTCGGCAAATATATGATTTCATAAAATCCACTTACCTATTTCTTTTTTATTTTCATTTGTTTACATAGTCAGAACGTTATTGTAAAAAGAATTACAAATAATATCTGTCATCTCCCATTTCCCGATGAGAATGGCTGTCAGCTCACTAACATGAGGAAATACCCCCGTTTTCGAAGCTTTGTATGAATAACACGTACGTCGAAGGCTGCCATGTCAGTATACATAAAAAAACACTTGTTGTTTCACCGACATAATCTGCTACAAAGTTCCTGATTGGTCAAATTTAAGCACATGACCTAAGGCAGCCAATTAAATTACAGCAACGGTACTGTCCTCGTGTATGATAATTTTCAGACTTTGACAAAGGTTTGGGTTAAATCATGTCATTCTGAACCTTTTAAGCATGAAATCACGATCTATATTAAAAACAAGGAACTTCATGGAAGTAGATCTATAGTGCTAGGTTACGAGATGTGACAAAGATGTCTTATGCATATATTTTGGCATCAAAAACATCGTGTCCGAGCCGAGAAATCAAAGCGACGAAAGCCGAGAGATGTCATTTGACTTACATTACACGCAAACGCATGAAAAAAATGGAAATAATAACTGAGATGTCATTTTGGCAACATTTAGATATATTTTTGTTGATTTTATTACTTTGTATAATATATTTAAAGATTTGCTTGAAACGTCTTTATTTTGCTGTTCGATGAGGACCCTTTGCCGAAGTGTGTCCGAGAAATAAAAAAGGAAAAATGTATGGCCTTAATATGGAAGGAATTGGTGCTATCCGTCCTTTATTTTTCATTTCCAGAGCATCACTCAAAGACCGTTCAATATTTCTTCATCAAACTTTCCACAGATATCAGTCTATCTATATGGACTTGTGCCTTTTTCTCAGAGCTACAGATAAGCAGTGTATTTGCATAAAATACCCTCCCAAAATATTTAAAACCCAATTTCTTTCAATTAACTTGCGTACAGAAATGTATGCATTTAATGAAAAACTCAAATGTTTAAAGACAGCACACGTAAATACCCAATAAAGCTTTTTCAGCATGCGTACAATGGAGCTAATTTCTGAAACACAATTACGAGCTAATTTACTTTCCAAGTCAAGGCTATATATTTAGAACAGTTATATACATCTTAAACATTATTTCATTTGTTTTAAATCTTAAAATGTTCACTTTTCTTGGGAAAAACCCAATAGAGTAATGAATAACTTCTTTGAGTGGCATTTAGAAGTTGGAGTGATAGTATCTACACCGAAACGTCGCACCAATTGTAATAAAGAAGTTGTTCATCCATAGAACTCGTCTTACTTTAGAGTAATGAATAGATGAATGAAAAAATATTGGTTACCTAATGAAAGGTGTAATAACCCAATTAAAATAGAAACCCCAGAGTAAAAACTCAATTGCTCAAAAAGTTATCTGGAGCTCTGTTTTCTATTTAGGAATTTTGGACATCTGTATTTTTTCCAGTTACCATGACAACAAATTGGAATTCTAATTCTATCAAAACAAATAAAAAGCCCCACTGTATCCAAAAATACCCATTGCTCGCAGCTATCTTCTCATCGTACTCTTCTACTGGGATGGCTAAAGGTACCAGTCAGTTAGCGTATTAATCAGTTTTATATTCAGTGTCATTGACCCTTTAGAACAAGTCCCAGGTGGCTTTAGTGGTCAGGGACTTGCGGTCAATGTAGAACATTGCACTGGTGGTGAATATGATATTTTCATACCTGTTGTTGTTATGCCTGATGGATGTCATTGCCATTTTGAATGAAATATTAGCATGATGCAAACTTATATCAATACTCCCAACCGATCCTTTCTTCCTGAAGTTATTGTTGCTTACACAATACATCAATGTTCAAATGCTTTTATGAGAGCTAATGGGGCACAATATTATATCACAACATACTTGTAAGATTATTTATCATGTTATCAATGTTTGTGCAATCCGATAAGGCATGGTATCTTATGAATATGCGAATGAGGTCTCCCAGCAAAAACTATTTTACTGCCATTCATAAATTGATACAATGCATTCTTACCCCAGAGCTCCAGATAAGCTTTTGGTGTTGTGGGTATTTTACCCATGCATTTTAAAATCATTGGGTATCAGTAATTCTATCTGGGTATTCAAATTTCTGTTACCCACTAGTTTTTACACATGTGGGTATTTAAGTTAAATATTTAAAAACACTATTCATCTAGTCCCTGCAAACTGGTGTTGTGTGGGTTCGAGAGCTTTATAGGACTAAAAAATACCACGATACTTCCACAAGAAAGTGTGATGGCAAATGATCATGATGTAACTGTCATTGTGGAGTTTGGCAAGGTTGACGGAATGCCCGTTTATAATTATGTCTCCCCCAGAATGGAGGGAGACATATTGTTTTTGGCACGGTTCCCCTCGGCGTCGGCGTCGGCGTTCCCACCATTTCCGGACCATAACTCAGAAACCGTTTAATATTTTTTCGCAAAACTTTGTATACACATTAACCCAGCACTGAAGTGGTGCCTTTTGCTATTTAGAGATTTTTGACATTTTTATTTTTTCTTGTTTCCATGGAGATAAGTTGAACATAGGCTCTGAATGGGGGTAAGCTTTGTTTCCTGACCATAACTCAGAAACCGTTTAATATTTTTTCCCGAAACTTTGTATACACATTAACCCAGCACTGAAGTGGTGCCTTTTGCTATTTAGAGACTTTTGACATTTTTATTTTTTCTCGTTTCCATGGAGATAACGTGAACATAGACTCTGAATGGGGGTAAGCTTGGTTTCCGGACCATAACTCAGAAACCGTTTAATATTTTTTCGCGAAACTTTGTATACACATTAACCCAGCACTGAAGTGGTGCCCATTAGTTGTTTGAAATTTCTAGGAGTTCTATTTTTGTCTCTGTTATTTAGTAATGGAGGGTGGGAATGAAGAGATGGGGTTTAACGTGAAGTAAATGAATGAATGGGGGTTAGGGGAGTGGGGGGAGACATATGTTTTTACGAGTAAAAACACTTTCTAGTTTCAAAATAAGTTGCTGATTTGCTATTCGAATACGCAGGGTTACTTCGCAATATTTTGATGATACACACAAGTTTTATTTTTGTAGCATATCTGTAATGTTCGTTGCTTATTTGATACGCTTGGATTTTATTTTACTGCGTATTTCTGCATTTCTGATGCGTATTTTACGCAGATACGCAGCTTATCTGGAGCTCTGTTACCCAAAAAAACACTATTTACCTAATACAAAAACGTCAACATGTAGTATGAATTTATATTAAATTATGGAGTTGTATAGGAAACTTTCCAGTTTATTACTTCTCATATGCGTTTAGACCATGATGGATCTTATTACTCCGGTCAGTGGATCAGTGACCGCCTCCATGGTCTAGTGGTAGAGCGCCGCCTGGAGAGTGGAAGGTCCGGGTTTGATCCCAGACGCGTCATACCCAAAGATGTTTAAAGATGGTACTTGTTGTTACCCTGACTGACGCTTGGCATTAAGGGGCTAAAACAAGGACTGGTCGGCTCAGAGTCAATATACTGTGTCTGAGTGGGGTATTCATGTTAAACTGCGGCAGTGGGCTTGCACTATAAACCGGCATCAGTCCGGACAAGTACAAGCAGCCACACACTCACGTGAATGCACGTTGCTATATAAGTGCAATAATCTTGGACGCGACGTTAAACCTCATTTCACCTCACCTCACTCTTTGGATCAGTGTGCACTCAATTGTCAGTGATTCACTCATTTTTATTGTCATGTCGAGGTTTCTGATGTTCAAATGCTTATAAACAAGGATGACTGCAAATATTTTCACACTACATGTATAATAAATGGGACGGCACACTCAGAATTGTATTCTAATGTCCACGGTTCTTTAAAAAAATCCACTGAGTTAGATAACAATGAGCACTGAATCAACAAATTAACGGAAAGTCATTTAAACACAGTATGTTGTTTTTCCATCGGCACTTTTTTATAATGCAATTACATCCCTCGGATGTGGGTGTATTCTGTCTGTTTTAGTACACCCACACATGTAAACACTTACTTTTGACAAATCCACTGTGCTAGATAACCGTGATTAATCAAAAAACTTATTTTCAGTTAATCCTTTGATTGATGCATATTTATTTTTGGTAACGCAACTGATCATTGATCCCTTGCTACTCTGTCAAGTGCATATTACATAACATACATTTCACCCCACTGCAGACCTGAATTTAGATTCAGTAATTACCCCAGACACAAGAAATGCCAAATGGGAACCTTTGTCAGGTAATCTGAGTGGTGCTACCACTAGTTATATTTGTAACAAATTCATTAACGGAGCATCAAGTGAATGACGACAAATTTGTGGGTGTAAGGTTATACCAGGAAACATGGATGACAACAAGGGGGTAGGAATCGTATTATCCACGAAATCCGAAAATGCTTTCGCAGCAGGGATACTTTTTTCTTATTAATCTATAACCATCAGGGATATTTCAAAATAACGACATCCGATGAGCTTCTACCATTCCTTTTGTCATTTGGTTAGGTTGAAGAAATTAATTAACATGTGCCCTTTGTAATACTGAAATCACGATCACGGGTGACCAATCAATGTCAGAAATGTGTGTATATATTGCCTGAAAGTATGTTACCGCTGTCCTTACAGTATCTTGTTACTCTTAATTGCATTAGCCAGCAAATCGACTCTTGGCAGCTGGTCAGCCCTGGAAGAAGCCAGAGGTTAGTACCCCTTTAAGTGTTAAATCAATTGCCTATGTCGAGCTGCTTGTAGAATATGTGGTACTGCTTGTTGCTTCCAGACCATGTACCGCTATGCAGTGTGTCACCATGAACGCCCAGCCAACACCCACATCAAGAACAAGTATGGCCTGACTCCCCTCACCCTTGCCAGCAAACTTGGGAGACACACCATCTTCAAGGAAATGCTGGAATTGGACAGTTTGGTGAGCTAGAACTCTTATGTCTTTGAAGTGCCGTCTATTCATATTCTAGAAGAAGTTTCCGATCTTAACAATTTATGAATATTATCTCCGAACACGTCATGTCATTTATGACCTTCGTTTACTATGTCTGTGTTTTGAGTTGAGCATGAAATTGTATTTGAGAAGGTTTTATGACCATGGGGCTTGTTCTGGACTGAGTAGCTTTGTACAGCATGGAAGTTGTTTTTGTCTTGATATTTTTGTTCGTGTTTAACGCTGGACTAAACAATATTGCAAAAATGTGACAGCAGCCTGTAAGTCAAGTCTGGACGTGACAATCCAGTGATTGATATTATGAACACACTCCATCAAGGTATGATGACACACATTCAACCAAGTCACAGTGCCGGGACACCGATTTTCGATTTCTAGCCCCAAGTCTGCAGTAAAACTTCTGACCGCCCCCAATTATTTTTTTAAATTCGTAAATTCCCAATTTGAATAAAAAAAATCCCAATTCCCCAGAATTTATGAAATATGAAATCGCTTTTGAACAATGTCTTAATCTTTCCCCCAAAGGCCTATCAAAGGGCACTTCGTTTGGAATCCAAGATAAACTTTGACCCATTCTGACAGTGTATCCCAACTGGGTAACATACAAGTAGGAATGACATGAGAATGCCCTGTCATAACAGTCAGCAGTGTCTAAAGTGTTCTGACTTTCTCAAGTGTCCATGTTCAAACACAGTCTGTGAAGCTGCTTACAGGTACCTGTGTTCTGCCTCGAATATCCAACCGCATGTTCAACTTAGATGCCATCCGTTGTCTTGTATTCCCTGTTTGTGTGGTGATTGGTCAAGTGTTCTGATGGCGGTGCTTTGTTTCAGGAACTGTGGCGGTACAGCAACATCCTGTGTTCTGCCTACCCTCTCACGTCCCTGGACTCTATAGGCCCCAAGGGAGACACAAGTAACTAGCCATCTTATCATCCTTTCTTATCCAGGGTATTTTCTTGCCATTCTATGATAAATACCCTGGGCCCCGTTCCACAAAGTGATCTTTGCGCTAAGTCGATCGTAACTCCCATTCTTGAACATTGACTTACTACAGTGGTAGCGCTAAGATCGCTTTGTGGAACGGGGCCCTGGACTTACTCACACAACAGCTTTCTTAGCCATCCAATCAAAATACCGTCTCAAGCGAGAGAAATTGTTTGATGTGTATTAGAGAGAGGAGCGATGGTGATGGCGTCACTTCCTAAAAGAAGTTAGTGAATGGATCATTTATCATATACTACTCAAAAGAAGTTAAGGACAACCCACTTCTTTCATGTTACTATATTTAATCTGTCAAGGCATCACAGGTTACCTACAATAATATGAAAGAATTGGGTGGTCCTTAACTTCTTTTGCCTAGTATATTTGTGGATTTGATAGTACACTGGGTTACATCTGCATTTATGTATCTGTATGTATGTATATACTATGTCTACATAATAATATGAGGGATTACAATTTGAAATTCTAATAGAGACATGAACTTGTTCCATGTCCCCAACTGATAGGCTCCTTCTTCCAAAGCCAGAACCGCCTCCGTGCTCTAGTTGTATAGTGGAAGGTTGGGGGTTCAATCCCCGACCGCGTCATACCCAAAGAAGTTAAAATATGGTTCTTGTTGTTACCCTGCCTTGGATTCAGCATTAAGGTTCTAAAACAAGACTGGTCTGCTTGGAGTCAGTTACTGCGTCTGAGTGGGGGGTATATTTATGTTAAACTGCAGCATGGTATCTCAGTGGGCTAGCAATTGGAAGATGCTTTCTTCACTGTTACATGGTGTTTAGAGGTTGGCGATGATGGAGATGGTGATGATGAAGGTGATGATTGTGATTATGCTGGAGGTGATGATGATGATGATGATGTTGATGATGATGATGATGACAGGTGGTGACGATGATGATGATGATGATGATGACGATGACGACGAAGGTGGTGACAATGATGATGATGATGTTGATGTTGATGATGATGATTATGGAGGTGTGTCTTGTAGACTGGAACTCGGCGCTGATGATCATTGTGAATGGGGAGACGGAGGAACACCTGGACATGCTGGAGGGAGGGGTCATACGACAACTGCTGGACGAGAAGTGGAAGACATTCGCCAGGGTAACGAGATGTGTGGCAGGCTCTCACTAGATATATTGTCAAGAGATATTGGGTTAATGTGTTATGTGGTCAGAACATTTATGGAGATAAATAGATATACCTCATGATCCTGTGATATACCACAACTGAATATACACTGGAATACCACACCTGAATATACACTGGAATACCACACCTGTATATACACTAGAATGCCACACCTGTATATACACTGGAATACCACACCTGAATATACACTGGAATACCACACCTGACTATACACTGGAATACCACACCTGACTATACACTGGAATACCACACCTGAATATACACTGGAATACCACACCTGACTATACACTGGAATACCACACCTGACTATACACTGGAATACCACACCTGTATACACTGGAATACCACACCTGAATATACAATAGAATACCACACCTGAATATACACTGGAATACCACACCTGTATACACTGGAATACCACACCTGAATATACAATAGAATACCACACCTGAATATACACTGGAATACCACACCTGAATATACACTGGAATACCACACCTGAATATTCCAATAATATGTTAGTGTGGAGTTTATACGATTTGAGGACCCGTGAAGATCCGGGGTAGAATAGGTCTTCAGCAACCCAAGCTGCCATAAAGACGACATGCTTGTCGTAACAGGAGACTTACATGATCAGGTGGTTGGGCACCCTGACTTGGTTGATGCATGTCATGGATCCCAATTGCGTGGGTCGATGCTCATGATATTAATCACTGGATTGTCTGGTCCAGACTTTATTATTTACAGACCACCATCATATAGCTGGAATATTGCATGTGTGGCGTTAAACAACAAACCAAACCAAACCAAATCCAACCAAAACACGATTTGAGCTTTTCAACCAGATGAGAGACACAATCTGGCGTTCATACATGTTTCATGAGACTGTATTCTCGGAATTATGTGAACACTGACAGACTACTTCCACATTTCTGTGTAAACCCCTTTCTAATCACCTTGGAGTTATTAATACAAAATCATAGTTTCTGATCATATAGACCCTTCAACTCTTGAACGTAAAATTCATTTCTTGAATACACCTGTATGGGGTGTTGGTTAGAATTACATATGCTTATGTAGGGCAACTTAATCAGTCAGGTGGTCAGACTTGGTGGTGTGGTTGATTGTGTGTTATCGTACCCAAGCACGTGAAGATCCGGGGTAGAATAGGTCTTCAGCAACCCATGCTGCCATAAAGACGACATGCTTGTCGTAATAGGAGACTTACATGATCAGGTGGTTGGGAACCCTGACTTGGTTGATGCATGTCATGGATCCCAATTGCTTGGGTCGTTGCTCATAATATCAGTCACTGGATTGTCTGGTCCAGACAGATCTTTACAGGTCGCCATTATATATGATATACCTGTCATATTGCTGAGAGTGGTATAGAACAACAAACAAACAAACAAACAAACACCAATAGAAATATGGAGTTTCTATGTCAGGAATGTTATTCGACCTTTTGGTAATGAATGAAAACGTCAACTTTTATTCCACCTTAACAGATTCATATTTGGTCTGTATGTTCTTCATTATATATTTTGTCATCTTCAGAGACGGTTCATCCTGCGACTGGTGATAGCAATCATACACTTGGCGCTGATCAGCGTGATCATCTATACACGGCCGGAGGGGACCCAACTTCTGGGCTTCAGGGGGACCATTGACATTGTGAGTTGGGGGTCATCAGGATACATGGTCTATATACCAGTTAAAGAATCTAGCTATCTGATTGGATAGTCGCAGTATTGTAAAAATGAGCTGGTATGATGTCAGCATGATCTTCAGCAACCCATGCTTGCCTTGAAAGGCGACTATGCTTGTCATAAGAGGCAACTAACGGGATCAGGTGGTCAGGCTTGCTGACTTAGTTGATGCATGTCATCATATCCCAATTGCGAAGACCAATGCTCCTGATGTCAATCAGTGGATTGTCTGCTCAGGACTTGATTATTTACAGACCACCGTCATATAGCTGGAATATTGCGGAGTGCGGCGTTGAACAGCAAACAAACAAAAAATAATCTCTGATATGACATTGCCTCCACGTCACAGCTGACCCTGTCACCATACAGGGAGTTTGATGTCGCAAGAAACATCTTGTTGTCACACAAAACTATTTAACTGAAAATACTGAACTCATGAAATGTTACGTGTATCAACAGCAGGGTGTTTAGATACAGGCTTAACGTTCACATACATCCCCTTAGTGTTGTGTACAAGACAATTCAGGTCATAAAGTGCCATACATCCACGCAATTGTCATGCGTAACTTATAGCACTGCAATACCTACTGGATTGCACTGATTATTTTGATACAGATGCACATTTGGCAGTCTTGTGTCTCTGGACATGTGTGTCCATGGAGGCTGAAATAAATCATATTGGATTATCTCCCTTTGACCATCCACAGCAGTTTTGTAACAGAACACGCTGTTACATGAAATTTGAACATGGATTTAAAGATTTTGGAATACAAGGAATTAAGCTTTTGAATTTGTTGTTTCTCGTGTAGGATATTTCAAAACATTTATGCAGGCACCCAGGTTCTGTTTGTTTATTGGTGACAAAAGTGTTGCATTAAGTGTTATTTTTGTCTCCAACCGAAAAACAGATTTTGTTGATGTGACATTGTCTGAGAATAATATTGATGGCGAAATTATGTTGATCTATGATTACATTGACATATTTACAGTTTAAAGGAATCAAACAACATGAGTTATTTTGTATAGAAAAATACAATGGAATATAAAGACCAATATGTACATAAAGGTTTTCAACATTCTGGAACCAAGAATACTTGTGAATTTTAAATTCAAACACGTTTACCCCATAAAGTTGTTCTTAATATGGTTACTATATAAAACAGATATATAGAACATGTTCTGTGTGCGATGTTGCAGATGCGGTACACAGCCGAGGTGCTGGTGTGTTTGGGGTGTTTCAGTGCTATCATGGTGGATGGGATTTCCATCGGTTCTCAAGGATTCAAACCTTTCATCAGGAACTGCGTAAGTTCATTGTTGGGATACTTGGTCAGAAATGGAGAACTTTGGTGATTTTATCCGACTTTTATAAGACATCCTCTTGTTATTTCTACTTGCATATTACTCAGAGGTGATTTAGGGTTAGAATTGGTCCCCAGCAACCTTGCTTGTCCTAAGATGAGACTAAATGGATTAGGCAGTGAGACTTTAATGATTGCGTAGGGGTACAGATAATCTTTTGAGCTGTTGAGTATTTACACAAATGTTATCATTCACATTGGGTATTGAGAGTGTTCTTTGGGTGTGACAGGGGACACCAGAAATGTGCTTCTCACATTGTACCCATGTGGGGAATCGAACCCAGGTCTTCGGCTTGACTAGCGAACAATAGCGACTAGTAACCACTAGGCTACCCCACCCCCTGTGATGCCTATAAATAAATACTAGTAAAGAAATACCTGTACGCAAGTTTGAGGGGCAACATTGGGTAATTACTCGTAGTATTGTTATTCTATTGTCGCGGGTTCTGCCAACGATGTAATCGAGGGAACTGAGGCGGTGCGGATGAGGTATAAAAGGATTTATTACCTGTAAAAATATATAAATTACATCAACATGAATTGATGTGTCGAGGAAGAAAGAATGTCTTCCCTCGACAATGGCGTGACATGAAGTGGCATTTGAAAGTGTCCACGTCACACCCCAGGTATTAGCACGAGATTCTGCTGGTAAGACAAACAGGAGTAAGATTGAGAGATGAAGCGTCCGTAAAATGAAAAAGAGATAACTCTTGGCAACTAATAAATCCGGCGACACCTTCCCCCCCTTTGAGAAATGTTGTCCTCAACATTAAAATGCGCTGAAGCATCCAAACAGAGAAAAGTGAAACCTTTATACAACTACTTACACACATTATGAGTCCACAACTTTGAAAGTTAACAACACAACTATACAAAAACCTCAAACGATTCAGAGATACCAGCGGCCGATGATGTATCCTCAGAAAGGAAAACATCTTTATCAGAGGAAACAGATGATTTGGCAAGAATACTGTAGTCAGTTACCCAATCGCCATTTCTGAGCCAAAACGGAGGAGCTCTGTTACGGGTAGGCCTCCCCATATCAGAATTCCGTTCTGACACATGATCAGTGGAGTCTGCAACTACATCCTCGTCATGAGCAGACGTTGTACCGGGCTCCTCTTCCGCTGAAGGGCTGGAAGTATAGCGTGTTGGAGAACTGTTAGATGGTGGTCCAGGAGACGTGTCAGCAGGAAATGAGTCTTCAAGCTCAATCACAGTTCCTACTGTTTCCATGGATTCCTCTCTATTAGCTTCAGTTCTTTCTTCTAGATCTCGACCAAAGTTAGTTCCATTGGATCCAGTAACCTGAGACACTGGTGGACTAATCGGATCTGGTAACAATACAAATACTTCCTCGGCATTTTCGTCTTCTGACTCCATGAGTTCTTGGTATTCTTTCACCTTCAAGGATACAGATTTCTTCGTCCCTGCCTTTCTTTCATTGTTTTTCTGATGTCCAAACACTGGTTCCGCTGGTATTGACACAAGTGGCAGGAGCATGTTCCGATGAAGTGTCTTCTTCAGTCCTTTGCCATCTTCCTGTTGCAGGGTGAATACTGGTATGTCCTTATTTGGTTGGTTTACAACGTGGAACACATCCCGTCCCCACTTATCAGCAAGCTTGTGTTTCCCAGTAAGTCCTACAAGACGAACAAGGACACGGTCACCAGGTTGGAGAGTTGAGGCGCGCACTTTAGCATCATATCTTTTCTTATGACGTTGACCAGCTCTTTGGGCTTCACGTGATGCACTTTCATAGGCAAAGTTTAATCTCTTTCTCAATTTGTTGATGTATTCTGTCGTGGTAGTGTGATCATCACCAATCTTCTTGACTCCAAGGAAAGCATCAACAGGCAGGCGTGGATGTCTACCAAACATAAGGTAGAAAGGTGAGTATCCTGTACTCTCATGCTTTGTGGCATTGTAGGCGTGAACCAGTGGAGAAACATAAGTCTTCCAGTCAGTTTTCTTATCTTCTTCAAGGGTTCCCAACATGTTCAGAAGAGTCTGGTTGAATCTCTCACACATTCCGTTTCCTTGGGGATGATATGGTGTGGTTCGAGTCTTCCGAATTCCTGTCAGTTGACCTATGAAGAAGATAAGAAAACTGACTGGAAGACTTATGTTTCTCCACAGCCAAATGAGATGGTCACCCTCAGTGGAGTTATTCGTCATAGTCCAGGGAATTACACTGCTGTTACTGAACATCTTGAAGTTGAATACGACATGCATACAGGTTTGTCTGTTTGTCCACGCCTAGTTGAAGTTGGAAAACATGGGAAGTTATCCAGAATACCAGTTCGATGCTGCAACCTGTCTGCAAGAGTCATCACCATCCGTCCAAAGACCAGACTCTGTCAACTCCACCAAGTTCGTGTCATTACACAAGTGCCCCTGGATGTATCTGCTAAAAAGACGAATCATGTATCAGAGGACACAACAGATACTTCTTCTCAGCATTGCAAATCAAGGATTGATCTCTCTGACAGCCATCTTGATGACCCACAGAAGCAAGTAGTCTCTGACATGCTACAGCGTTGGGATTGCATTATGTCTTCAGATATCACAGACTTAGGTTGTTGCAACACTGTGAAGCATGGAATCAGGTTGACAGATGATACTCCTTTCAAGCAGCCACATCGAAGAATCCCTCCTGGATTATTTGAAGAAGTAAGGGAACACTTACATGAGATGATAGCATGTGGAGCCATTAGAGAATCTCACAGTCCCTACTCATCTAATGTGGTGTTAGTCCGCAAACAGGATAACAGTCTTCGTTTCTGTCTTGACATGAGATTGTTGAATTCAAGAACAGTTCGGGATTCCTACTCAATTCCAAGAATTGATGAAACCTTAGATTGTCTGTCTGGATCGAAATGGTTCTCCAAGTTGGACTTGCGCTCTGGATACTGGCAAGTTGAGCTTGAGGAAAAGGACAAGGAGAAAACTGCATTTTCCGTTGGACCATTAGGTTTTTATGAATGTAATAGAATGCCATTCGGTCTAACCAACGCTCCAGCAACATTTCAAAGGCTCATGGAGAAATGCATGGGAGATTTAAATCTAAGAGAATGTCTAATCTACCTTGATGACATCATCATCTTCTCAAGCACAATTGACGAGCACTTGGAAAGACTGGAAGCAGTATTTCAAAGACTCAGAAATAACGGACTAAAGCTAAACACTAATGTTTATCTCAGACTAAGTATCAACTAACTAATAATAAATAACTGCAGTGTTAGTCAATATTCTTATCATCACATAATAAACACTTGAAGTATCTACTATATGGATTTATAAGAATATATATATATATACATGCAACAGGACCTAGTGCGCACAAATACTAATAAATAGATAAAGCTGGTAGTAAAGCATAAACATGCAGTATAGATATCACCGATTTCCACGGCATACACATTTCCAGCGTGAAATCAGAAGTGTATTAGTCAATCAGCAGACGTTAAAGTTCATCTTTGCAGATTGTAAACAATAATGTTAACATTTCTGGAAGTGTTCGGAGTCCATCGCCATGAGAAGCGTACAACACAAGTACAGGTGGAGATATTCTAATGCACACTTGCCTGCATATAATGTCTATCACAGTCGTCCTTGAATATCACAGTCGTCCTTGAATATCACAGTCGTCCTTGAATATCAATGTCTGAATATAAATTATCACAGCTTGACAATATAGATTTATGATTATAAAATCATTAAAATGTCAAAGTATATACTTAAAAAGTCTGTGAAGGTGATTCAGGTGATAAGGATGATATGGTTGAAAACGATGATCACGTGGACGATAACGACGATGTTGATGTTGTGATGACGTTGTTAATGATGTTGTGGCTCTACCTCAGTCCCTGTTCGGGCGCCATTTTGTCGCGGGTTCTGCCAACGATGTAATCGAGGGAACTGAGGCGGTGCGGATGAGGTATAAAAGGATTTATTACCTGTAAAAATATATAAATTACATCAACATGAATTGATGTGTCGAGGAAGAAAGAATGTCTTCCCTCGACAATGGCGTGACATGAAGTGCATTTTATTACGTTGCATAGCATGGCACAATATAATATTCAAACGCTGTTACTTTATATACTATAAATGCAGCAATAAATGATTTCGGCGGCACACGTTATGTGTGACGTCACCACATTATAAACAAAGTAACATTTTTATGATCTTTCATGTAATAATAAAATATATATACATGATAAACAAATGGAACTGAACCAGATCTTTCACTCACAATCTTACTTACAGGATGGTGCTTTAAACTTAGTGTTTGAATTAGTAATCTCGTGCAACGCGATGCCTTTAGACCGAGTATGATATTCACAATTTACAACATTAATTATTTAGTTTCTACAATCGCGTTACCTATTCTATTGACTAGATTTCCATAAAGAAAGTAGATAGACACGGGTACATACCTGTAAAAAAATATAAATTACATCAACATGAATTGATGTGTCGAGGAAGAAAGAATGTCTTCCCTCGACAATGGCGTGACATGAAGTGGCATTTGAAAGTGTCCACGTCACACCCCAGGTATTAGCACGAGATTCTGCTGGTAAGACAAACAGGAGTAAGATTGAGAGATGAAGCGTCCGTAAAATGAAAAAGAGATAACTCTTGGCAACTAATAAATCCGGCGACACTATGGTGTGTTTTTTTTAACTTTTCACGCATATTTGTACGCAAGCAGTTTAAAATTAATTGGATAAGGCTTAAAAAATATAAGAATTTATTCTTAGACAACGACTTTTTAAATTATAGTGCAGGCAGGAGGTGTTGTTGTTCAAACTAGTATGTAACCAAATAAACAGTTGTGTACCATCAACCTGAGACAGGGCCTCCCCACATAAACAAGCATACAAACTCCTACTGCAGCCAAGAGCGTAACACGAGATGCTCAGTAAAGCAGTGCCCATGTAAAGGGAAGTAACTGCTGGCTATTTAGGATCACATTGTTTTTAAGGATTAGGATTTTAGAAAAAAAATTGAAATGAAATGGAAATAACAATGAAACGTGCGGTAGACTTTATGATGTTGTGGGCGGTGCCTGAGAACCAAGACTATTATATATTTTTTAGCCTAATAGTGACTTATTTTGCGTATTTTACACAAATACACAGCATATCTGGAGGTCTGCTGTATACGCGTGTGTGATCGACATGATGTTTGATTCCAGATGCACGCTCCAGCACAGACGGTGAATATGATGTCGTCTCTGCTAATACTGTTGTGTATTCCGTTCCGAATACTGAAGCTAAACACAGTGGAGGACATCCTCCTCATCATAGCAATACCGGGATCCTGGTTCTTCCTGCTCTTCTTTGCCAGGTAACCGACAGAGTGATGTGACTCGTAAATCTAGGTTACAATCGTCTCAGCGCCAAGATCATTCGTGGAATGGAGTCTGTGTTTATGGGGGCTTTCATAGATTTTATGATTGTATTATTGTTACAATTTCACCAAATTCCAATGAACCAATAATTGTACCTGTACTATATGCATAGTGATCTGTAGTTGGATACAAGCAGAGTGTCGATCTTGGCGATGTCAGGCCAACATACGAGGGTTCTAAAGAGTCAGGATCAAGGTTCATCATCACATTGATGTATCGAGTTCAAGTTAATCCCTTAATGAGGAGTCACAGTATTATTTACACTGATGCCGTGTCAGTCAATCCCCTCCATGATCTAGTGTATAGAACATCTGTATGGAGTGTGAAAGGTCTGTGATTCAATCCCCGACTAACACACTTTTATAACATGGTCTTGTTTTAAATTGCCTGATGCTCGGCATGTGACATTAAGCCCCATTTCACCGTACACATATAAGGGAGATAACTCTGGGATGCATATAGTCTATGTGAGCTAATGCCTTGGAGATTCATAAATCATCCAACCTTCCCTCCATTTATACTTGAAACAGTCTTCCCTTCACAACTGAACATGTAATTATATACTGAACAAATAAAGTTAGGGATCATGAATATTTTGGGGGATGTTTTATGAAACTGTGCGCTCAGTCTTCCCAACCAAACAACATCCCCAAATGTAATAATGATGTATTTTTGTTCAGTACAGATTTACTGGAGATTGTTGGCTACATTTAACCTCTGTGAATAGGTCTTCGGCAACCCATGCTTGCCGTAAAAGGCTACTATGCTTGTCGTAAGACTCAACTAACGGGATCGGGTGGTCACTCCCTGATTTGGGCAGTCGGGTAGCCTAGTGGTTAAAGCGTTCGCTCGTCACGCCGAAGACCCGGGTTCGATTCCCGACATGGGTACAATGTGTGAAGCCCATTTCTGGTGTCCCCCGCCGTGATATTGCTGGAATATTGCTAAAAGCGGCGTAAAACCATACTCACTCACTCACTCACTCACTCCCTGATTTGGTTGATGCATGTCATCGTATCCCAGTTGCGTAGATCGATGCTCTTGATGTCAATCTCTGGATTGTCTGGTTCAGACACGATTACTTACAGACTGCCGTCATATAGCTGGAATATTGCTGAGTGTGGCGTTAAACAAACAAACAAGCAAACAAACAAACAAAACCTCTGTGAGCCCATGTATTGTGGGTCAGATTCATAACAAGTCACTGCTGCACTGTTTCAGGGGATCAACACTCCTAGGCCCTAATGTTGTTATGATGTTTTCAATGGTGGTCAATGACTTCCGGAGATTTGCTGTCATAATTGCTGTATTCTTTCTACAGTTTTCGTTAGGTACAAATCTTCTTCTTTGACAATTGTTCTGGTGTGACCATTTGGTTTGAAGCACTGAATGAAATGTTTGCCTTTCAAACTTTCGCTATTCACATAGTGTGCACAATGCCAAACATTGGACATTACTAACACCGCATAGAATTCACGTTTGTGATGTTATTGCTAACACTGCATAGATTTCACGTTCGTGATGTTATTACTAACACTGCTGAGAGTTCACGTTCGTGATGTAGAGTTTTCTGCTTTGTTATTCTCCCCCGCCAAACAAAGTTGGCGGGGGATATAGAAACGGGCTCCGTCCGTACGTCACGTTTGGTTTCCGGAGCATAACTCATAATCTGTTCAATATTTTTTCATGAAACTCTGCAGGTCTGTCAGGTACATGCTGAACTGGTGCCTTTTGCTATTTAGAAACTTTAGAAATTTTTATTTTTTACGTTTCCATGGCAACAAGATGGACTTAGGTTCCATACTCTTCTTTTTTTTACAATTTCCATGACAAGTTCCACCTCGGTTAAAAAATGTTAGGGTTTGTTTAGATTTAATTATGTCATAAATACTGCAACAGGGGCAGGGGATATAGCCACGTTAGTGGCAAACTCTTGTTTCATTTACGAGAGAAATGGTACTTGTTAATCCGGTGTGGATTCTGGGTTAGAATAGGTCCCCAAAACCTGTTATTGGTTAGAGACAAGATTTTTAAGTACCGATTAGCAACTACTTTTAACCAACATTGTTCTATTGTGACGTAATTTCTGCAGATTTAAATATGCACTTGCAACTTGATGACTGACAAGAAATTGACATTAGCCAATCAGAAGGCTGCTTTCTCTAGCTTTACGACACTAGTTTCAAACTGGCGACTACGCTTCGAAACATATTTTGACATATTCTCGATTAAAAAATTTAAAACTGATAAAAAGAACATTCTGGAATGGCTTACAGATGGCCTAGATTGTATGGATATAATCATAAAACACATAACTGTTGTTCGGAATACCCTCTGTAAAATATTTCGAGGTTGCATGATTAGAAAACACATTCCATCTGTCACTTTCATGATCTGGTAAGCGAGGCTCTGATTGGTTGGATGAAAGGTCGTTCTGACGTGACCCATAATGGGATGTCCTCAGATCTTTGTTTAGCAATAGCGAGAACTTAGGTCTGATTTTAATGAGATTGTCACAAAAGCCTTTGTCATTAGAATAAATGTATTGACACACTCTGACTTAAGTTTGTCTCTTATTATCGGATAATTTCATCTTCATAATTTTTCACTTGCGTTTATGTTTATTAATGAAATGAATCATTAATTCAAGCCAGTCGCCAAGATGTGCTTACTGTAGGAGTACTGAATTATTCTATTGTTGAAATGTCCGCCTGCTTTCACAAGACACCAAGTCACCAATATTATATATACATGCACCTGCTACCTGAATCTCACAACTCCAGCCGCTCGTCACAACTGTCAATCAAACTGATATGGCCAATCAGGAGCAGTCCATGACACCTGCATAGGCTTTACTATGTTGTGAGGCCAACCTGTCAGATTGGTGTTGAAGTGAGACACCCTGACATGATGTATTGAAATATGTTTCTATGGGTATCTTTATGCTTGTTTATGACGTTAAGCAAATACTTTTTCTAATCATTGACAATATGTGGTAGGCTTAGGGTATTGTAATGAGTTGTTCTGAATATATTTTATTCCATACAAAGATATTCCTAATGTTTATTTTTCTTTGCATACTTTAAAAAGTAGATTTTTTTCTGTATATCTGTTTAGGAACACAGGATCATTTCTGTTTAAATGCATCATTGTCATTCTTAAAATTGCCTTTTTATGGATTTTAATGGTTTAGATTAAAGGTTTGCTGCATTTTTTAAGACTAAAGCCCTTTACGTTAGCATCTGTTCATGGTTGATGATGAAGTGTCACCTTGATCTCCAAGCACAAACATATATAATATTTATATAAATATTTATATGTACCCATCTTTAGAACTGTTGTATCATTGTATGTTTTCCAGGGGGAAAAAGAAGCACAGAGAATGAGTTGACAGGTTTTCCTATAAATCAAAACTGTTTAAAAGGTCTTCATAAAACCTTTGACACAGCCAGATCTCAAGTAAAGAGATTTGCCATCTGATTGTGTTTCCTGTTTTCTGCTGAAAAGAGGCTGCTACCGTATTTTCCTCCACTAAGCGCCAGTGTCTAATAGGCAGCTCCCATAGGCACTGGGTACAAAGCAGTGTACTACACAATAAACGCTGGATCTCTAATAAGCGCCGAGTCTCTAGAAGAAGCGCTGCATATGTTTGATTAAAATTACTTCTCCCTGGGATGAATAGATGCTTTAGATTCTCTTGTATGTCAATATATTTGGGACTGCATCTTCCTGAAGCAAGGGAGTTAACTGAATATAAAAGCCCAGTTTCCACCCTTGCCAAACTAGACTGGAATTTCTGAGACATGTTTTGGCTGGCTTAATGAGTCTATGCATAGTCTAAAGAAAAATATAACGGAATTGTATGGTTCATTAACAACATGGCGACTTCCGAGCAGATTTCAGTCATTTTCAGGATTTGCAAAGCATGTGTACCACCAACTGGGCGTCGATAGATATTTTCCAAATATTCTTTTAATCAACGTTCTCAAGTGATTTTATACACTACGCGAGGTAAGACCCGTTTTATTACAATATAAATCCTGAGGAAGAGAATTTATGGATGTAAACTTCTTTATTAAGAGGAACACAACATGTCAAAGTATGTACCTACTCCTTCATCAGGTGAACAAATGCTATGAAACAGAGAACATATATATGTACCTGTAAGAACAACAACAGTAATAAGATAAAGAGGAAAATTAGCAAGGGAAGTCGTTGACAGGAAAAAACATTTTGTTTATTTTTTGTTGTTGACATTTTTTATTCCTTTCAAAGGGTTGTACATCAGGTTCCAAGGTTGTACAGTAGGTTTAATCTATTGTAATGAACATACGTTACAAGGATAACGTTTACACTGACAGGTGATTAGCAATGGAAGCCAATACTTGACAGTTAATTGGCGCTGATAGGAGATCGCGATGAACAACTAGAAGCCAGGACTTAAATTATCACTGATTGATAATAAGTAATCGATAATGGGCAAAGGGAGGCAGGGCATAATTAGCAGTGATAGGTAAAAGCAATGCATATGGCAATGGACAAATTGAAGTCAGCTGGATAATTAGCACAGACAATTTTCAAAGTCCCAAGCACTTGGCAGATAGGTTCCCTGGTCACGGTTCATGGCTGGCTGGTATCTCCTGATGTCAATGGCTTAAAATTCTTGTAGTTTTCTTTGTGACCAGTCATTGTTATCAGTAGACAGGACTTTGGTGGCTTCCCACAAGATGTTATGGCCTTGGTTCTTGAGGCGTTCGGAAATTGCGGATTTTAGGTCTAGTTTGTTGACAGAGGCCTGATGTTCTTTCTTTGCAGGGGATGTGGTATATACATCCTCTGGGGTTGGGACTTCCGCTGCAGGTGCCCTGCAATTGGCTCGTAGATTGGCCTTGATGGTCTTGTGAATAATAGTCAGTTATCTCCCTTGATGTGGTGGCTGTAGCTTATGCCAATCTCATTAAATTCAGACCTTAGTTCTCGCTACCGCTAAACAAAGATCTGAGGACATCCCATTACGGGTCACGTCAGAACGACCTTGCACGAACTTTGACCGACCAATAGAATGACCAATCAGAAGGCAGCTTTCTCGTGCTTTACGGCACTAATTTCAAATTGGCGACTTCGCTTCGAAACATATTTTGACAAATTCTCGATTACAAATTTGAAACCTAAACAAAAGAACATTCTGGAATGGCTAATAGATGGTCTAGATTGTATGGATTCAGTCGTTAAACCTGTAACTATCGTTCGGAATACCCCGTGTTAAAGTTTTCGAGGTTGCATGATTAGAGATCACATCCTGACTGTCACTTTCATGATCTGGTAAGTGACGCTTTCATTGGTCAGATGAAAGGTTGTTCTGACGTGACCCCTAATGGGATGTCTTCAGATCTTTGTTTATGGGTAGCAAGAACTAAGGTCTGATTTTAATGAGATTGTAGCTTATCCAAAACCGTAGTTGAAATATTAACACGGGGCCTCCATTACATGCTGAGTTTGGAACCTATTACAAACAAGAAGCATTGGGCACGTATTAGAGGAAATACAGTAATCACTATTTACTCATGCTTATTTGACATTGGGATCTGGATGCCATAAGCGCTCATTGTTGTCTTGTTAGGTACAATGGGATTCAGGTATTGTCTGCACAGTGGCGGTATTGATGTCGGTATTGATGTCGGTGCTGATAACATAAACTGCAAACAATGGGTGCTGCATGCGTTCCTAATTATACAGTACAGCAGCTGCAGTATGACAAGTGCCAAATCAGTGTGTGACAGTATACATATTCACTCACACGGAGTGATTGTTAATGTCCAAGAAGGCTTGTCACTATTATTATTGCTTGGCAAAATGTTAAGTGAGGCTTGTCAGTCAACCAAATTCTTTTCTGTTGCAAATATCTAGAATCCCCTAAAATGTAAATGAGATGTGTTAGCCAATTGAAACTGCTGAAGTTCATGAAAAATTAGGTCATACAAGACTGGGTGCTCTAATGTTTTGTCACAATTCAACCTCTGCCGCCAGTAGCTGTTTTTAGCTGAAGTTATTATTTTATCGGAATGATATATTCCAATATAATGTTAACATTATTGAATGATATTTGTTTGTTTTACAGACAAGATTAGTCCAATAACATGGACAATTAAGATTAATATATTGCAAGTTTAACAAGGTTGAATCGTCACCAGTGATTGTGTTAATTCGCTGCGATTGTGTTTTTTGGCTGCTGATTGCGTACAGCCATTTGTCAGTGACACTTGACACTGAGTGAGATTTCTCAGTTCGCTATACACGTCACTAATTAGTGATCAGATATTAGTTTGCTATATCCGTTAGTTCGCTGTAGAGAGTTTGTTATGTACGTAAGTTTTATATGATAATATATAGGAGATAAATCGGTTCATTGTATCCATTTGTTCACTCTATCCGTGTTCGTTATACCCGTGTTCTACTGTAGTTAATCTGTCATGCCATGAAAAATTAACTATAATCACGTGATAGAATAATGTGTTCTTAACTTTTTTTGAGCAGTATATATCTGACTGCAACAACAAATACCATGCATTCTCTCTTCCATGATATTGTGTTTATCAATGCTCACGCCTTTCAGACATGAAACGTCAATATTTCTTTCAAAAGTCTATTGATGTACCGGGTATGGGGTCGTTTATTACAGCCTTGAAAAGAAAGGAAGTCCCTCACTCCAAAACTTGAACTTATTGAATGGGATGAATATGTTAAGAAACTTGCTATTTGACAAGGCACGACAGAAAGCATGTCACATGTACGTTGATCAAGATCTATGGCAATGTGCATTACAGCACACAAACCATGCTGTGTTTCATCTTTGCCGTGGTTATCTTGATATGTTTGCCTAGGATTGATTGCAGATGACTGGAGTTGGTCTATTTATCTTTTGATCTTATCATGCTTATATTTCATGCTTTTGTTGGTCACTTCCTGGTATCAGATCGTGTAGGTTGTGTTGATTTTCACTTGTGGAGATGGAAACTTGAGATCTTGAACCTCAGCTCTAGCTATTTGATAAGCAAGTCCATTAACTATAAAACAGTCTGTGAGAACAACTGTTGGGTCGACTAGCATGAAGATGGCTTCATTTCCAGTGGACTTTCTTGTTGTCATATGGACTGTTATCAGATGAACTTACTAGACGGCACAGAACATAATTGGATTCGGGCTTCGGACTACTATCTAAGTCGCAGCTTGCAAAATATAAAAAGTGATGCCTCAAGCTCCTCACAGCGATAGCCCGTTCGCGGAGCTCTCTATACTATCGCTGCCACCAGTCCAAACTCCCCACTGTGAATAGGTGGCCACAACCATGCTTGGAGTTGAACTCGCAACCGAAGGACCGTTACGTTTACAAACAAGTGACGACTGTCGTGACGCCGAATACACTTATCGCTGCTAAATTACTTTCTTCGTTAGTCAATTTGAATTTCTGTTTCATTAAAACTATCGTGTTATTGATATGGTAAGAATGTAAGGGAGAAGTTGGTTGATTTTCTGTTAGTCTGCAATCTCGAACCAATCTGATTATTAAAACAACAAAGTAAATTCATCTGGAAAACATGGCAAGTCGTAAACCTTTTCAAAATGAAATATGATGGCATTCCCAAAGACATAAACAAAAGTATCAACGTTACTACATTTGGGGTTAGAGGGCAAATTTCAAGATTCTTGTAATGGCCGCGCCCACACTGGTGGCAGCGATGTTACCAAGAGTGTAACCAAGGGGTCACGCACTGGGAAGGAGCCTGGTGATGCCTGAGAAAGGGGGAGATAACTCACATGAACATTGTACCAGGATACAGTTCAGGGTGTGATTTTCCATTGACGAGACTGCAGTGGTGCAGGTTAAGATATGCTTGTGCAGCCTAAGTTTATAAGCAGACTGCACTGAGACGGTAAAATATTCCACAAACAGGCAAATAAATATAAACTTTGATACCATGTGTACAAAATCCAAGCAAATTGAAATGAAATTATTGTCATTTTGGCAATGTTCATTATGACATCCTGTTTATCTATAATGCAGATTTCCAGTGTTTGCTGAGGGGCGGGATTGTCTGACTTAAAAGGAAGAAAATGTATTGACATCATTTATGCTATGCCAGAATTACTGTGATGTTGAAGTGTGGATGGATTTGTCCCAGGACACAGTCACTGCTTAGTGTAATATTAAAATTTGTGTCCTTTTGTTTTAATTTTAGTTAAGTTTGTGGTGCAGCCGGTTTATTTGTTGTGGGGTCAGTTGTCAGGGCTCGACTTAAGGAACTTGATTTAACTTGGACCAGATGCATGTTGACATGGAAACCATGTTGCACCAAACAAAATCACCCTGGTCCTGTAATCAAAAGTTGAAACATAGGCTGATCTGCTAGTGTCGCATTTATTAATGACACATGGCTGTAAAATATAATATGGCTGAGCACATAATCCTGAAGAATAAAAAAACAAACCATGACAAATCACAAGTAACACAGGGATTAGTGATGTGGAAGTAAGTGAGTGAGTATAGTTTTACGCCGCTTTTAGCAATATTCCAGCAATATCACTGCGGGGGACACCAGAAATGGGCTTGATACATTTACCATGTCAGGAATCAAACCCGGGTATTCGGCATGAAGAGCGAACGCTTTAACCACTAGGCTATCCGACCACCCCTGGAATGGTAAATAAACCTTAGAGGTATTGGGTGTGTTCAAAGGTTTATTTTGTTTGGACAAGTAAGGGTTAGTCAGACACAATTCAAAGATATTAGGTTGCATTTTTTAATAATGGTTGCACTTGTGCATGTTTTATACGGCTAAATCAAGCTGTTATCTGCAGCTTGCACCAGGTGCAGTGGAGCAAAAAAATGACGTCCCAACCAGGTGTTGATGCAACTTGCATGCTGAAGTCCCATGTTGTTACTAACTTTGTCCTGACTGCACTTTCAATGTTGAGCCGCACTGTTTGATTGTATTTTTGCACTGTTTTTCCTCAGGGGTGTCAAACTAACAGGTCCATTCGTTACGATGATCTATAAGATGATTAAAGGGGACCTCTTCAGATTTGCTCTCATCTATCTTATCTTTCTCGTTGGATTCACGCAAGGTGGGTTTGAGATGCACTGTGCCTGATCTTACAATACACATAGCTGCCAACTGCCAAGGTTTCGTATTTGTTACGAATTTGCAATTGAAATATGAAAATACTAATTCTTCCTTAATCTATACAAATAATGTCAGTCTATGAAAAGAATCACAAGGACTAAGTTTTCATAGACACCGGTAATGAGATGGTAATTATTTAACTTTAAACTATGTGAGCGCATATTGTTTATTGACTGGTATGAAGTCTATTTATAGTGTTGCGTCTGTCCATCAAGACACTCCATTCATTTTAGCAGATGTTTCTGTCGTCAAAATAGAAACTAATCGATAAGTTTATTAACTGAGCATCCTCCTCTCGTTCCCCATGACAACAATATTGTCGGCCTTTGTGACCCATTCAGAAGATATTTCAGATGTATTCATTGTAATTTGGGAAAGTTGGCAGCTATGTTGTATATGAATTGTTTGGGGGAAATTGTCCAGAAGTGGAAACACAGTAGCCCAGTTATCTGAGATGTCCTGTTTATCTCTGCAGGGTTACAAGTAGTTTTTGCTGATTTGAGGTTAAATATCAGTAAAAGTTAACAATGTATATATTCCAGATATTAGTTTTAGATGCCTGTTGATTACACGATTAGCAGAATTTTTAAAGTTCTTGAAATAAATGTTATGACAGAAATATCAGAAGAATATGTTGAACATAGGCTTAAGGTTTTTTTTGACTCATGTCATATTTAGAACATGTTTGTAATATGGCAAAATGTTTTCATTGTCTGTTAAAATATTTCCTATAGGATACTTTTTGTGAGACATGAGCATTTTATATTTTCAGTGAATTTTATGTACCTATTTAAAGTGTTATTAATAAAATAATCAGTTGTTGATACCCTGTATGTTGTTTAGGTTTTGTTTACCATGTTGAACTTTGTTGACTCTCATTTGTTTCTTTGTTTGTATTGTAGGTTTCTTTTTCCTGTTCCGAGATGTGGATACGGACAACTCAGATGTCCAGAAGTTTTCTACTTTGGAAGACACTGTGATGAACCTTTTCCAGATGACCTTGGGAGAATTCAAGGTCAGATAAGGATATTTACGCTACTTTAATTTTGTTAATGTGTCTAGAACTGCTGCAAATTCATCATCTAGGTAGATGCATTTCTGGTGTGCCAATTTGCAGGAATAATGGCTATGATGTAATAGAGGTAGTATTTTTAGAATTACACATTCATAACTGTTGTTTGATTTCCATGGCATAACAGGAATTATGTCTGTTTCAGTACGAGGCATTCAACTACGCCCGCTACCCCCAGCTTACAAAGATCGTGTTTGCATTCTTCATGTTTCTGGTGCCGATCCTGCTCTTGAACATGTTGATAGCCATGATGGGCAACACCTACACTCAGGTCATTTCAAAATCCGAGAAGGAGTGGAGGAAACAGGTGTGTTATATACTGCTCAACATTTGATAGGGATATTCCTGTAGGTAATGGGCTGACCATTTGGCATTCTGAGGGATAGGTCCGGGATTTTATGAGAGAGAAAAAATTGTCGCATAAAAGTTTGTTTCACTGGGCTTAGATTGTGCTTGTGTTTCACTTGGCTGAGAAGCTGTTTGTGTTTTAGTGGGTTAAGATCTTGATTGTCTTTCAGTGGGCTTATATCGGGCTTATGTTTCAGTGGACTTAGATCGTGCTGTTTTTCACTGGGCTAAGATCGTGCTTGTTTTTCACTGGGCTAAGATCGTGATTGTGTTTCACTGGGTTTAGATTGTATTTGTGTTTCAATGGGCTTAGATTGTTGTGCTTGTGTTTCACTTGGCTGAGAAGCTGCTTGTGTTTTTTTGACTAAGATCATGCTTGTGTTTCAGTGGGCTAAGATCGTGCTTGTGTTTCAGTGGGCTAAGATCATGCTTGTGTTTCAGTGGGCTTAGATCATGCTTGTGTTTCAGTGGGCTTAGATCATGCTTGTGTTTCAGTGGGCTTAGATCATGCTTGTGTTTCAGTGGGCTAAGATCATGCTTGTGTTTCAGTGGACTAAGATGCTGCTTGTGTTTCAGTGGACTAAGATCATGCTTGTGTTTCAGTGGGCTTAGATCATGCTTGTGTTTCAGTGGGCTTAGATCATGCTTGTGTTTCAGTGGGCTAAGATCATGCTTGTGTTTCAGTAGACTAAGATCGTGCTTGTGTTTCAGTGGGCTTAGATCATGCTTGTGTTTCAGTGGGCTAAGATCATGCTTGTGTTTCAGTGGGCTAAGATCATGCTTGTGTTTCAGTGGGCTAAGAGTGTGCTTGTGTTTCAGTGGGCTAAGATCATGCTTGTGTTTCAGTGGGCTTAGATCATGCTTGGGTTTCAGTGGGCTAAGATCATGCCTGTGTTTCAGTAGGCTAAGATCATGCTTGTGTTTCAGTGGGCTAAGATGCTGCTTGTGTTTCAGTGGGCGAAGATCGTTGTTGTGTTGGAGCGAGGGTTCTCCAAGAAGCAGCTACTTAAGTTCCAACAGGAGTATGCTGTGAAGATTGCCGGACCTCCGACCCAAGACAACCAGAAGACAGAGGCCAGGGCTCTGGTGGTCATCAAGGCCACCTCCAAGACGAAGGCGAAACAGAGGAAGGCGGCCATCAGCAACTGGAAGGTGTGGCCTTGTGGAACACAGCATTAAATATGGTTATAGTAGTTAGAACAGACTACCCATGGTAGACATGGTCATATTACTGTTATGCAAGTGATGGACTGTCATAGGCATGTAACGTAGTGGTTACCAAATTGAAATGCGAAGGTTAACCCATAAATTGGTACGTACAGAACAATATAGGGAGGTATCCCATCCACACTGGGAAAGTAGATAAGATGCATGTCTTACTAGAAACTGCAACCCTGATGCGTCCATAACAATGTAGTCAATCTCGAAAGTTGATAACAGTAACCATGTGTGTAAACAAGCTCCTTACAGCGAAGAGTAATAAAGGTGTCAACGGCTGGTCAAAGGTCAAGGTCACTGCAAAAACTTGATATTGTACAAATTGCTGCCACTTCCACTTTTTATTGAAAGGAATCAAATCTTACACTGCCATGTTACAGGGGACCTCATTGTAAGGCCATACACAGTAACTCAATTCAGGCCTACTACAAGGGGACCTCATTGTGAGGCCTTCTGCAGCACCTCAATACAGGCCTTCTACATGGGGACCTCATTGTAAAGCCATACGCAGTAGCTCAATACAGGCATACTACAAAGGGACCTCAATTCGAGGCCTCCTGCAGTACCTCAACACAGGCCAACTACATGGGGACCTCATTGTAAGGCCATATGCAGTGCCTCAACACAGGCCTACTACATGGGGACCTCATTGTAAGGCCATATGCAGTGCCTCAATACAGGCCTACTACATGGGGACCTCATTGTAAGGCCATATGCAGTGCCTCAATACAGGCCTACTACATGGGGACCTCATTGTAAGGCCATATGCAGTGCCTCAATACAGGCCTACTACATGAAGACCTCATTTCGAGGCCTCCTGCAGTACCTCAACACAGGCCTACTACATGGGGACCTCATTGTGAGGCCATTGGCAGCACCTCAAAACAGGCATACTACAAGGGGACTTCATTGAAAGGCCTCCTGCAGTATCTCAATACAGGCCTACTACATGGGGACCTCATTGTGAGGCCTCCTTCAGTGTCTCAGTACAGGCCTACTACGCATGGGACCTCATTGAAAGGCCCCCTGCAGTATCTCAATACAGGCCTACTACATGAAGACCTCATTGAAAGGCCTCCTGCAGTGTCTCAATACAGGCCTACTACATGGGGACCTCATTGAAAGGCCTCCTGCAGTATCTCAATACAGGCCTACTACATGGGGACCTCATTGTGAGGCCTTCTGCAGTGTCTCATTACAGGCCTACTACATGGGGACCTCATTGTGAGGCCATTGGCAGCACCTCAATACAGGCCTTCTACATGGGGACCTCACTGAAAGGCCTCCTGCAGTGTCTCAACACAGGCCTACTACATGGGGACCTCATTGTGAGGCCTCCTGCAGTGTCTCAATACAGGCCTACTACATGGGGACCTCACTGAAAGGCCTCCTGCAGTGTCTCAATACAGGCCTACTACATGGGGACCTCATTGTGAGGCCATCTGCAGCACCTCAATACAGGCCTTCTACATGGGGACCTCATTGTGAGGCCTCCTGCAGTATCTCAACACAGGCCTACTACATGGGGACCTCATTGTGAGGCCTCCTGCAGTATCTCAACACAGGCCTACTACATGGGGACCTCATTGAAAGGCCTTCTGCAGTACCTCAATACAGGCCTACTACATGGGGACCTCATTGTGAGGCCTCCTGCAGTGTCTCAATAAAGGCCTACTATGCAGGGGATTTGATAAATTTGAATGCAGTGTAACACTAATTGTCCCATGTATTACATAATTTATAACAATTTCAGTTTTCTGAAAGGACCCTTGCTCCTTGACTGGTTGTGTAAAGGGGATGATTAATAGCTGACACAAGATGTTATCTGGTCATTGTCACTGATGTGTTGCTCATTCAAAAACTTGGGGTTATTCGTTTACACAGTTTATAAAGAAACTGCCACACAAAAGATATGGCACACAGATAGTCCTAACAAGTATACAAGCATCCCATTCTAATGCATTCATTAAACCATGCTGATCTCACGCAATATGGATCTGTAGAATTCTCCTGGTGATTCAATACTTTAGGAGTGAGAAGAAGAATGTGCTCATACATATTAATGCCAGGAAACGAGGTGTACAATAAATAATGTTTAATTGATAGTTCGCCTAAATGGGTTGTTGTGAAGGTATGAACATGAATTTCAGTGGAGATTTCTTGAAAACCAATTACCTGAAATCCCAGGGTGGCATTCCCTTAAACAACTGTTCAAGGTACTGTAAACATACTCAACAAAATCTGTTACTCAAGTTTGAATGAAAAATATTGAAATATTGCCGAGTGTGGCGTTTAACATCAAACAAAGTGTGGTACATTTGTTTTCTGTTGAGTGTTTGTTGTTTGTCGTTTAACGCTGTTCTCAGCAATATTTCAGCCAAATAACGTTGATTTATAAATAATATGATATATGTTGTAAGTGAGTGAGTGAGTTGGGTTTAACGCCGCTTTTAACAGTATTCCAGTCATATCACGGCGTGTCAGCTTAATGTGGGAGGAAAGCCTGAAGTGATGCAGGTCTCCGTTACCCACTTCGGTGAAACCCACGAGCACGGGTATGGTGCTGATAAACCTAGAAACATAATATATATGTTGTACATGATATGTTATATATTGTACATGATAAAAATGGTTGGTTACATTCGACATTTTTTTAAAGTTTAAATTTGCTATATAATCAAATAACACTGACCCCTTTTCTGAGATCTGGGGTAGAATAGGTCTTCAGCAACCCATGCTTGCCGTGAAAGGTGACTAACAGGATCGGGTGGTCAGGCACGCTGACTTGGTTGATGCATGTCATCGTATCCCAATTGCGTGGATCGATGCTCATTACATCAATCACTATATTGTCTGGTCTAGACTCGATTATTTACAGGCTGCCGTCATATAACTGGAATATTGCTGAGAGCAACGTCAAACAACAAACAAACAAACAAACAAATCATCTTTGTCTCACTCACCACCACTGATTATCTCGTCTTTTTTTATTGTCTTTTCAGCGTGTTGGCAAGGAGATAGTGACACAGCTAAAGGAGGCCAGGAAACGGGGTCAGACAGTTGATATTAATCTCCTTCAGAACAGAACCAGACCAACACTGACCCAGATAGAGAGCACTTCGTTCGAGGACGAAAAGCTATCAGCTTTAGATCCGTTTGGGCAGACGTTCTCTTCCACTGTGGCCCAACTTGCCTGGGAACGTGACATTGACCTTACCAAAGGTAAAACATTTATATCTGACCCCGAGGTCATGGATAAAATCAGTCCCCGGGGTCACGACATGTCTCCGATACGGGAAGCAGGTCAAACAAACATTCCAAATGGGCGGCCTAAACAAGTGGAGCGTATCATGCCCTCGGGGCCCATTCTTGGAAGCCCTAAGAGCAGAAAACCCATGATGTACAGTAATCGTGTGTTCCCTCTTATTGCCAAGTCTGGTGATGGGGGCAGTGGAGATTTGTTGGATGGTGCCTGCATCCGAAGCAATACTGAGAAGGTTGAGACCTTGTCGCATAAGTCACCTACCAAGTCTGTGTTTTCAGTGAGCTCAGAGCCATGGGACAAAGACACTGTCAGTAGTGCCATGAGTCTAGAAACTCTGCAACATGAGGATGAGGATGGTAGAGGAACTACCACCGAGGCGCCAGTGGTGACCAGGAGGAAGAAGGAGAAGCGGAAACGGAAGAAGTCAAGCTCACCCATGAAGAGCAGTGCTACAAATTCTCAGTCGTCCCTCACTCCATTGTTGAAGGATGATAAAGGACAGCCTTCATCGAAGGATTCTGGTGATAAAGAACGGCCTTCATCAAAGGATTCTGTTAATAAAGAATGGCCTTCATCAAAGGATTCTGTTAATAAAGAATGGCCTTTATCAAAGAATTCTGGTGATAAAGAACGGCCTTCATCAAAGGATTCTGGTGATAAAGAACAGCCTTCATCAGAGGATGCTAATGCCAACTCATCCAATGCTTAATTATATTTGTCCTCTCAGGGTATTTTTTGTTTGAAAGCAAATAAATGCATTTCACATGACAGTTCTTAGTTACGGAGATTATTGTTGAAAGGGTATTAATTGCGTTGATAATAATGTGTTGAAGCCAGTGAATGCGAACCAGTTACAGCATTTATATTACTAATTATTAATGATATATTATTGGTGTTTTCCACTGTAGTCAGGAATAATGGGGTAAGTGGGCTATTGTGGAAATGATTTGTTATGAGATACAAATGGCTTGATATCAGATTTTTTTGTTTTTGAAGTCATGATTATTTTGTCTACATGATACAAAGTTATTGTTTGTTTTCTTGTACAGGAGATATTTACAAGAAAATTATTATCTTTGAAGTCAATATTTTATTGTCACTGATGCCGTTATTTTTTTATTTGTTGGATCATGGACCCGTTGACCCTATTTTCTTCAAAATGGTGCGGGAAAATATAATCCACATTTATAAATTGTGTGGGAAAATATAATCCACATTTATAAATTGTGTGGGAAAATATAATCCACATTTATAAATTGTGTGGGAAAATATAATCCACATTTATAAATTGTGTGGGAAAATATAATCCACAATTTGCACATTTCTTCACTGACACATGAAACAAGCATAATTATTTTGTGATTACTCAGTTTTTTTAAAAGATTCATCTATTAGTCTGATCTTAAAAAGCTCAATTTGACAATGTTTTTTTCAATGAGTTGAAGTGAAGTTCCTTGTGTAACATGTAATATGAACTATGTTTTACCGGTACTCAAATGTAAAATTTGTCCGATGTGAACTGTAAACAGAAGTGGGTTAATTGTTTTACCTTCCAACAGGCAATATTTATATAAACAGTCCATAATCTAGCTTTAGGAAAAGAAGACTTTGTTGTCAGTTCAATTTTTATTCCCTCCTCCGACTTCTGTAATCCTTGATAACAAATAAACAAATAACGGCCCGAGTAGCAGAAAGGTTTTAAAATGAAATATAGAGGCATGCAATATTTCCGAGAGATATTTCGTATCTAATGATTTGTATACGGTTGTGAGATGAGGCATGACTGTTGTTATGGAAATGGACACTCCGATATTATGCCATGTATATAATGTGTTGTTACGAACTGTTACGCATGCCATGTCGTATGTTGTTGGACGATCATACCATGTTCAACCTTGCAACATTTTTAACTGACACTGTTCAGTAGTTCCTTTGGATGGGCATTTTGAAATATGATGGGTAGTTCCTTCACATAATTTGAGCAGTGTTCATCCACATGAAGGCCAAAATACGAATTACAATATCCTTTTTTTGTTTTGTATATTTTAATGAAAATATTTTGTTTTTATTAGTCATACAAACACTACTTTGACATGCAATTTTTATGAGGTATAGCAATCAAGAAAATAATGATGACCCTTATGGTTGAGAAAATGTCAGTCTGGAAATAAGCAACTCAGATGATAGTTCCTTTTCAAAAAACAAAATGGCAGTGTACTGATTTCCAACCCAGATGATGGAAAAATAAATCTGGGGTTTGTTTTAATATGTAATTTTAACTGAAACGCTAATTCGTTAAGGGATTAGTGTAACATTTTAGAATGTTTTGACAGATGGGCAGTCAACACAAACTTATCAGATATAAATCAGGACTTAAGAAATATAATATTCCTCATACCTCGGCATTTTGATTCTTTCCTCCCAACTACATCTCTGAAACATGTTTAATGTTTGAAACCAAATGTGGAAAAGTGTTATGGTTTTTATGGTTACCATAGTAACTAGGCTGAATATTGGTAATGTAAATGAACTGCTGAGACATTTTGTGTCATATTTTTAATACATGTTGTTTTACTGGATTTATATTTTTCATCAGATTTTATTCATTTTATACAGCAATATGATAATTTATCAAATTTCTACTTTGCATTATTACTTTAAATGGGTTTTTTTCAGATTATTAGATTAATAAAATTGCTTTTTTATTGTTGTTTAATCCTTCATGTAAGATATACTTAGCAAAGTGTTTCCTGGTATTTGTTTGTATGTGCTTGTTTATTTGTAATTCATGAACTCACCAACCTGTAAAAAATTTAAAAGCAAAAACAAAGAAACTGAAAAGCATTTTTTTGTTTTTCCTGTAAATGCATACTGATATGTTGACGCCATAAGTAATCAATAAAGTTTGGTCTACCACCATGTGGAGTGTAATAAAGTATAGTTTCACTCTGAACTGTAATAGGAAGCTTGCATCAAAGTGCTTTGAAGTTATAATAATAGTTCATGACAAAACACTTTGGGGTAGACCAAATTTTATTTTTTTCTAAGATGTCAAAAATAAGACTAAACATGTATTTTTATGGAGATATGCCTAAAATCAAATCTGTTATAAGTCCTGTGTTTTCTGACACAAAAGTTGCAACTTATTTCCACCACAAAATAGTAGACTGCAGTAACTTCAAGCCATGAAATGCAGTGTTAACACTGTCGGTTGTACGACATGACACCGTAACCGAAGTTGCAACTGACATGAATTAACTGATTGAGGCATGAAATGGTGTTGCGGCCGCGAGTCGAACATGGCGGGGGGAAGAGCAAGTTGTTTGACTGCAGTATGTTGCTGAATGCCCTACACTGAGTATCAGAAGGTGGGGTTACGTCCCTTTTTAAAGATTGCTCACTCCTGTGGCAAGTGACAGACGTAATTCAAAGTCACCAATGCCAGCCTCCCATTTCTAGGTTATACTATTTATACCCTATGTCACAGATCAATAACTGATGTGGATGGACCACCGTGACCGACAGGAATGAAGAACAATGATACCAAGGATTCGTAAGATCAGCGTTTTGACAAAATGTGTAGTTTACCACAGGATCAAGTGCTTTTAGCTAAGAATGTGCTTACAATACTTTTAGCTTGAAGACTGGATTTGTCAATCTTAACTCTTTGAACCACAAACTAATCTGAAAAATCTTTCAGTTTCCCCAATGAAATGGCATCTGATGAAACGTTTGATTGAACACAGCACTGATCCCTCCTTTTTCATTTGTAAATGTTTAAGTAGGCTCCTTCATTCAAGGGACAAAAAACATTGCCGGAAAATATTTTCAGTGAACATGTAATCGAAACCTGCCACTTTGAGGCCACTGATCACCTGAATGCTCACTAAACCATGACTAGTTTTAAAACATGTTCTATTTCTAAATGTCGAGTCGTGTGTCATGATTGTTGAGAAGCTGGTACGCTTGCACTCTATACTCTTTTCAACTACATACCCTCCTACTGTTCAACCCTTCATCACATAAAGTAAGACGAGTTCTATGGATGAACAACTTCTTTATTACAATTGGTGCGACGTTTCGGTGTAGATCCTAACACCTTTATCAAGCAAGTGATGGATAGGGCTAAACAACATAGGTATATATACACTTATTGACATCTAAGTTGTTACAGTGACTAGTTGATGGGCACAGAGAGGTGATTAAGCTAATTGGAAGCCAGTGGATGACTGATGAACACAGCTAGAGTATACTAGCAGAGTAAACAAGCTAACTGATGGAGATGATGGAAGCCACTGTATTAATTGGATGGACAAAGGGATTGAGCAATTAGGTGATGGTAAGCAGGCGGGATGTAATAGCCTTGGTCTCTGTTCATTTCTGGCTGGATCCTTTTGATGTGGATGGCTTCTAGGAGTTTCCTGATTTTGTAGTCTGATTGGTTGTTGGCCAGGATCTTGATGTTGTTCCACTGGATGTTGTGATCGGGGTGGGTTTGGGTGTGGTCGGAGATGGCTGATTTTTGAGTCGCACCAATTGTAATAAAGAAGTTGTTCATCCATAGAACTTGTCTTACTTTATCACTCCAACTTCTAAATGCCACTCAAAGAAGCCTTCATCACATACTACTCAAAAGAAGTTAAAGAACAATTCTTTCATGTTACAAGAGTGTATCTGTCATGGCATGGAATGTGAAATTAACGGGTGTTCTTTAATTTCTTCTGAGAAGAGGGGCGGTCAGGTAGCCTAGTGGTTAAAGTGTTCGCTCGTCACGCCGAAGATCCAGGTTCGATTCCTGACATGGGTACAATGTGTGAAGCCCATTTCTGGTGTCCCCCGGCCGTGATATTGCTGGAATATTGCTAAAAGCGGCGTAAAACCATACTCACTCACTCACTCTTCTGAAGTGTATAGTATTGGTAGATCTTATGTCACTACTTGGGGTTGATCAACCAATTAGACAAGTTAGATATGTCACAAGTGATTATTGATGATGTCATTCTATGGTGATGTCTCCCATTGTAATAAAAAAACTCCTTTTTTTGACATTTTCTCAGTACAGTTACTAGGGGTAATACGTAAAATAACATGGCAACACAGAATTTCGTGTCATCTGTCTTGTAAAATGTTGAACAATCCAAATTATTTAAGTTGGGTCAGATAATCCGTCATAGCGTGTTGGTTATTCTTTAAATTCAAGTCCTTTTTCTTACAGAAAAATTATATTGTCAGCTAAATTTTCAACTGCTTATCTGATCATATATGATGGTATGAGTCAACATGAGAAGGTGAGCTTCAGAACATGTTTACATTACTGTGTTTAAGTGACAATTTCATCTTAAGAGCATAAGGGGCACCGGCGGCACAGTCACCTAAGGCGCCGCGATTCGCTGTGCAGAGTTGCGTCCCTTGGGCACGCCAGAAACTTATGATTGTGGGTTCGAATCCCGGTTCGCCCTGATTATGTTTCTAGGTTTGTCAGCACCATACCCGTGCTCCTGGGTTTCACCGAAGTGGTAAACGTCTGAGACCTGCATCACTTCGGGCTTTCCTCCCACATTAAGCTGACACGCCGTGATATAACTGGAATACTGTTAAAAGCAGCGTTAAACCCAACTCACTCACTCTTAAGAGCATATGTTTCTGATAACCTGAAGCTGGTGCCAGGATTATATATATGAATTTTACGAACATTTATGTTTATTTTAAGTTACAAGTTCAAGTCAAATACTCAATGTATATATAAATATATGTATTGCCTTGGAAATGTTTTATCTAAACAATTTTATAATATTGCAGCTAGGCTGTTTTATCAGCTGGATAAGAAAATATATCTTGCCAAATGTTTACATATTTTTATGTAATTGTCAGATTTGTATATGAGGCCAACATGTTTTATCATATATATATATATATATCAACCAACCACAAAGCGGTTACTTTGTTTAATAGTATGTCTATGCTCAAGACCTGGTGGGGTAGCCTAGTTGGTTGGTTTGTTGTTTAACGCCGCACTCAGCAATATTCCAGCTATATGACGGCAGTCTGTAAATAATCGAGTCTGGACCAGACAATCCAGTGATTGACATCATGAGCATCGATCCACGCAATTGGGATACGATGACATGCATCAACCAAGTCAGCGAGCCTGACAACCCGATCCCGTTAGTCGCCTTTTACGACAATCATGGTCACAAGCCTAGTGGTTAAAACATTCGCTGGTCACACTGAAGACCAAGGTTCGATTCCCCACATGGGTACAATATTGGAAGCCCATTTCTGGTATCCCCTGCTGTGAGATATTGCTGAAATATTGCTTAAAGCGGCGTAAAACTATACTCACTCACTCAAGTCCTGGTGTTACTGACTATGTCATTTTATGAAAATGGTAAAAAAGAAATTGTTTTGTGAAATTCATTCCATAAAATATTAGATTTGACTATTCACCCAAATACCAGAGAACTGACTCTAAGAATTAGACACTGGGTGGTCAGATGTATGAGTGTGTTGTATATACCTGTAGTTTGACAATGATCTATCAGCCAAACTGTTGCAAAACTTGGTGTTTTTACTCCCCCCATGCTTACAAATTTAGCCGGGGGCACGGGTGGCCCAGTCTTCTAAGGCGCCGTGATTCGCTGTGCAGAGTTGCGTCCCTTGGGCATGCCAGAAACCTATGATTGTGGGTTCGAATCCCGGTTCGCCCCGATTATGTTTCTAGGTTTGTCAGCACCATACCCGTGCTCGTGGGTTTCACCGAAGTGGTAAACGTCCGAGACCTGCATCACTTGGGGCTTTCCTCCCACATTAAGCTGACACGCCGTGATATAACTGGAATACTGTTAAAAGCGGAGTTAAACCCAACTCACTCACTCCCTCACTACAAATTTAGCTCACCTGAGCTTAGTTATGCCCTGTTTATCCATTAGCTGTGTTGTCTTTAAACCTCTTATCAGAAACAGTGGCCACAGTTGGCCCAGTCGTCTAAGGGACCGCAATTGGCTGTGCAGAGTTTCGTCCCTTGGACACGCCAGAAACCTATGATTGTGGGTTCGAATCCCGGTTAGCCCTGATTATGTTTCTTGGTTTCTCAGCACCATACCCGTGCTCCTGGGTTTCACCGAAGTAGTAAACGTCTAAGACCTGCATCACTTCAGGCTTTCCTCCCACATTAAGCTAACACGCCCTGATATAACTGGAATACTGTTAAACACAACTCACTCACTCACTCATGCTTAACAGAAACCAGTGAAGCTGAAGATTCACATGCTTTCCAATGAGGACAACTGTATGTTCCAGAGGACCAAATCCAATTTGTAATAAGATCTATAGATGGCCATTTTTGTTAAAAATGTAATGGAATTTGGCACATCTTGTTATTAGTGGAAATCAGCATGTCCTTCCGGGGGTTTTCTTAATAATTCAAAGGGGCAGTCAGGTAGCCTAGTGGTTAAAGCGTTCGCTCGTCACGCCGAAGACCTGGGTTCGATTCCCGACATGGGTACAATGTGTGAAGCCCATTTCTGGTGTCCCCCGCTGTGATATTGCTGGAATATAACTAAAAGCGGGGCGTAAAATCATACTCACTCACTTACTAATAATTTAAAGTTTGACCTTATTCTCTCAAATTCCATGTTTAGCTCTATGAACATCTCTGAAATGAAGCATCTTACTTTGTCATGTTATTTGTTTTTGATGGCATCATATTTTGTTCAAATATAAAAAAAACTTTGTGTTAGTTTTTAGTCGTACATATTTCTGCTGAAAATATTTGACTGCAAGTTTTGTTGAGTGGCTATCATTGTTGACATTTTAGACTGTTGACTACATATGAAGGTGAGTATTTTATGGTCCAGAAGAAGGCTTCAAAAAGCCAAAATATTAATAAGGCTTTACACGATATTATTCATTCAGTTTTCTGGCATCAATAATTTGTCCATAAATCCAACTTTGGATTTATTTGTTTTTGAGGACTCCATACAGTGATTGTATATAATAGCTGCAATATTTGTGAATACAGCATTAAATAACAAACTAACAAAACCACCCAGACATGTCTCCCTTAAGTAATTGCATTAGCTTTTTTTTCAATCTCATCCAAATCAGATCTTTAATCCAATACCTCTCTCTGCATGAAGACATAGGGTCATTTCAGGTGAACGTTCTGTTCGTTAGTATGTTTGTTGTTTAACATCGCATTCAGCAATATTCCAGCTCTATGACGGCGGTCTGTAAATAATCGAGTCTGGGCCAGACAATCCAGTGATTGACATCATGAGCATCGATCCACTCTATTGGGGTACGATGACATGCATCAACCAAGTCGGTGAGTCTGACCACCGGATCCCGTTAGTGGCCTCTTACGACAAGCACAGTCGCCTTTTACGGCAATATTATATTGTGGGTATTTTATACATTATGTCGTTTCTGAAAGCCATGGCATCTACACCTAAAAGGGAATACTGTAAACTAGGGTTGTACCGATAAAACGCAAAGGGACCACTAAATTTAGTTTGTTTTCACTGTAGTTTTTTATAAGCACATTCACAGCATATATACCGCAAATGGACGGGACAAAATCAGTTCATTATATCCGTCAGGTCAGTTCGTTATAAGCGTGTTCGTTATAAAAGAAGTTAACTGTATTTGTGTTCTGTGGCGATTATATATGCTGAGATCAAAGCTTACAAATCGGTAGTAAAGAAATTATACAGAAATTAGTTCTGATATGTGATTGGCTCTGGAACCCACCCACACAAAAATCACTCCAAGTCCACCTGATGGGTCCGTTTATGGAGGCGTTCTCAGTTCATGCAGAGAGGTCTGGTGTAGTAAAAAATCTGATTTTAATAAGACTGCTTGTTCATTTAAATCTTGTCAGGCAAACTAATCAAAATGTAATATATTGTAATATTAATGTGTACAGTGTACATAGTGGTTTTGATATGAGAAGCATGAGTGTCACTGGTGTGCATGACCGTGAAATGTACATAGATAGGTAGATATGTCTGTAGAGTACTATACACTGGATGGGACCTGAGAAGAGATTTTTGTGAAATTAACATGGACAATGGATGCAGTTGTTGAGGCAATAAACATTATGCAGCCAGCATCTCTGTGTCTTTTTCTCACCTTGACATTGTCAAAGTTGGCTTTTACCTTGAATCATCATCTGCTTTCCTAAGTTCTTTCTCGACCTGTGAAGATCCGGGGTAGAATAG